ACACTTTCTTGCGTCAGCGTAAAAAAACAACAACGACCAACGACAAATAACGTAGAAGGGTGGGATGGTGGAAATGGGAGGGGGGGGGGGGGGATAAAGATAAAGGACATACATACAAAAAAGCAAGAACAAAAACTGATTTAACGTAATTTGTTGTTTTAGTTTTGGTCCCTGCGTGTGTGCGTGAAGCTGGGACGTGAACGAGCAGAGAACTAGAGAAGAGTCAAGTATCCAGGAGGCATCGGGCGTAGAATCTGCCATTCCTCCGCACCAACAACAACAACAAACAGAGCAGCAGAGCAGTAGAGCAGGGGCATGCAACAGGCGACAAAACTGGTCGAAAGCGAAGCAGCTGAAACAACAAATTCACGCACAAAGAACAAAATCTCAGAGAATCGAATAGTTACGATTCGATTAAGAAGTCTTTATTCCAAGGATTTTTCCCGAGAATGGAAATATGTAATGAAAATATTAAAATAAAAACCCAATATTTAATTGAAATATATATTTAAGACCCCCTCGATATGGTAGCATTTGCCGCCTGTGCCCAGGGATAGACACTTCTGTATTGTGATTTCCGCCCCGCTATGTAGTCTTCTACGTCTCTCTGTCTGTGTGTGACAGTAACGTGAATGCTCACGGTGATAGAGAGAGAAGGAGAGGGGAGAGAGCATAGTGTGACTGCTGACTGGTGACTGCTGAATTGGTGACCCCGACGATACTTGTCCTCCAAAACCACTCCACTACAGCGCATGGAAGGAGCAATTCAACAAACGCCAGCGACATGGCAACAACGGTAGTTTGAACAACAACAACAACAACAACGAGGAGGAGAGTTAGGGAATGGAATGGAGCAACATGCTCACGTCGCTGACGACGTGTCTCAAGTGTGTCCCCCAAGCGAATATAACTGAATGGTGTGTGTCGGTCGCTCTTTCTCTTTTTTGCCAGGAGCACTGCCTCTTGTTCCCTCCTTCTTTGTTGCTGTCGCTGCCTTTGTCTCTCACTCTATCTCTCTCTCTCTATCTCTCTCTCTCTCTAGCTGCTTTTCTGGCAAGTGTTTGTCTGGTGTAATTCACGAAATTGCCAGCAATCGATATAAACATCAACTCTCAATGCGTTTGTCTCCCTGTTCTGCCTTCTGCCTTCTGGCTTCTGCCTTCTGCCATTGTGCCACCCCGCACTCCACTCCGCTCCACCCTCTTGGAAGCATTGCTGTGTTGCTGTGTGTGTGACAGTGCTGCCAATGCTGCCAATGATCCTGTTGACGTTTCGTTACTTTTCCCGGGAACACAACAGAAAGCGAAGAAGAAAGTGAAGTGTAAGGGAACAAAAATTGTTTGCTTGGTTTAGTTTTATTTTTATTTTGTATTTTAGTGCCAGCGAAACTGACATTGATGATGATTATTGGGAGTAAATAGAATTGGAAATGCCACCCCCTTCTGGCTATAGAATGTATCCGTGTATCCTTTTGCCAAGGCCCAGGACACGTGTGTGTGTGTCGGTATCCTCAGCCTTACTCCTCCCCCCGCCCTTCCCCCTGCCATGTGCCGTTCGCATAATGCGCGCAAATAAATTGCAAAATCAATTGAGCGGTAAAATAGTTTCCTTTCGAAACAACAGCAGCAGCAGCAGCAGCCACAAATCGAAAGTCAATGCTGCAGCCACGCCCTTTATACGCCTTCTTGAAGCTGGCAATCGAAAGGAATCGCGTGACATGTGAACCGTGAACTCCACTCAACGCGGGGGCGTACTGCCGTACTGCCGTCTGGCTGGAGCGGATGAGAGGGTGAGTGGATGAGGCGGCATCTCACTCTGCAAAAGATACGCGTGCCAGCGATCATACTCGTACAGAGCTTAAAAATGAAAAGTATCTGCACGGCGGTGAAGATTCTCTGGCATAAATCTCTGGCATACAATCATGAATTAATTATGAATCTTAAGCGAATCGGCGGTGGTGTTCTTTTCACTCACTCGCTTATCCCCATTTATTATTCATGAATGATCAAAAGTTGTCCCCCGACAGATGGGGTGGGTTGGGGGGTCCAACATTTCCTTTCCTTCCCTTTTCATTTCATTTCACTTCCTTTACTTTACTTTCTTTTCATTTCCTCGCCTCTGTTTGGCCTGCTCCTTTTCATTCCTTTGGTTTTCTGGGTGCTCCGTGCCATCAGTCCCTTCAGAGTCTTGAGAGACGGCCTCCTTGCCTTTTGTTCTGGCCATTTTCTTCATGTGTCTCTCTATCATTAAGGCGAAAGTACAGCTTAATTGTTGCCACAGACAATGCGATGCTGGCTGTGGGGGTGGGGGAGTGGTCCCTATCTCTCCGTCCCGTCTCTTGCATTGGGGTATACCCCTTGGCTACACTCGTCGTTTGCCTATTAAGCAGCATCATAATAATAATGTGTAACAACAACAACAACAACAACAACAGCTGCTGGCAATAGCTTTTGCATATGTGTATGTTCCCATGTGCGGTTATCCTTGTGTGAGAGAGTGTCTGTGCATCTGTGTGTGTGTATCGTTTGGGGACGCATTCAAAGCAATTTCCACAATTTTCGTATTGTTTACTTAATTAATTCTGCACAAAGATTTCCACTTGCGAGTGTGTATGTCTGTGAGTATTCTATGTATGTGAGTGTGTATATGTTTGTATATGTATATGTTTTGTGGGGGTTTTGTCTGCGGCCTCGCAGATGTTCTGCGGTTATTACAGCAAAACCCACAAAATCCACTCCACCCACTCCATCCTCTCCACCGATACACCGATACACCCATCCATTCGCGTAGACAAAAAGGCCTTAATGAGTTTATAACATTTAATGAATCCGCAGCCGCACCCGCACCATGCGGCGTATGCGTAATGCACACTCGATTGTTGCCACACAAATGGCTTAAAGAGGGCCGCCGCCTTTAAGTATGCAACAAGTTTAGCGGGCAGTCCGACTTGGTCTGGGATCGGTGTATCATCAATAGATGTTCTAACTGGCTTAAGCCGAAAACTGTCCAACAAAAGGCACTTGCTCTGGGCAAAATCATTCTTGGAGCAGGCTATACGCCTGCTCGTCTGAATGGTAAAGAAAGATAACCCTTTAACAAAGTTCGCATAAGTGACAAGTAGAGTCGCTAGGGATTCCAAAATGCTAACGATAAAATCCGAATTATTAATAGATTTTGCGATTGTTTGGCGCAATGATTACAGAGTTTTTTTTGGCACAAGCTAATGACTAGACGATATATCATCTTGCTTTCAGAACACTCCTATTGTATACGGGATTGATGGCTATTTGGGTTTATTAGTCGTCTGAATAGAGCTAATCGATAGTCACGCTAAGAACGCACCGATTAATCTTTCTGTCTTTTGTAATGCAATTTCCAAGCAAAGCTCAACTTTTCCTTAAGGTCGCATTTATTGGCATATATTCCCCAAGCGGGGATTGTGTCTTTACAGCACTCTGCTCTTTTTCTTTGTCTCCGTCTCGCTCTGCGGCTTGATTGATATCGAAATTCTTGCCGAACATAAAGTTGACATTGAGGCCAGACCAAAACACAAGAAAGATAGACAGAAATAGAGATAGACAGATGGAGACACCGATAGAAGATACAGGTGCACACACAGAGATACAGATACAGAGATACAGATAGATATGCAAATTGATGGACTGCCAAAAGACGAAGACAGCAGAACAGAAGATCGGAGTGGTGGAACAGGGGGGACTGGAGCTTGGGGGAAGCTGATGGAAATATGAAACGAAATTCATTTGGCACTTTACTTAGCCATCATTAGCGCAAGCCACTCTCTTCCTACCCTATTGCCGCATTTATCTGCTCTTTTTCTTCTCTTTTTGTCTGCATTTCAACACATTTTGGTGTAGAAAGCTTTGCTCTAGGGAAACAGCGATACCGAGAGAGAGGCAGAGAGGGAGAGAGGGTGATACAGAAAATAGATGATTTTATGGTTAATCTGCTGTAAGCTGAACATTTTTATGGGCGCCACATAAAAAAGCATTTTTAGGTCAAAGTTTGTAAGTTTCTGTGATTTTCGGTCATATACTGCGAGAAACTGTTTTGGGTTTGAGGATTTTGAATTTTTATTGATATATCTAGATATGGATATATATATTCTACTATTGAGAGAATACCAAACTTTAGATTCCACGTTGTATAGAGGGATTTCTCGCAGTGCATTATGAAAGCGACAGACGACCAGCCCTGCATAGTTTATGGTTCCACTAATAAGAATATACTATACTACATTTACGATCGATCGAGCCGGGAATGAGTAGTGCTGCCTCGTACTGCGGCGATATTATGTTGGTTTTATTATCGATGCGATCTCTGGTTGGAGTTTGCCCAGCTGTAAACTAGAAACTAGAAGCAGCCCATGACAGCTCAAAATTCAGCTTGTGAGCTACCGTTTTGCTTCTATGTCAAGATCAATGGAGTGGTGGAGTGGTGGAGTGGTGGAGTGGCGGGAGAGAGACCCCAAAGAAATCGAAATCGAAGTCGGAGTAGAAGAGTTGTTACAAGCTTTGTGATGTGATGCCCTTGCAGAGAGTACCATCGGTCTACGGATGGGTTTCATGGGAGCGATTGGTTGCACGATCTGTTAGAGTATCTATGGCTTCGATCCACAGCGGCATACCATCTTTCTTGTTGTACTTTCACTTGTGCAAACACACACAAAAGGGAGCCAAGAACGAAGCTGCCGCCACAGAGGGTCATCAGCATCAGCGTCGGCATCATCTGCTACATCGTCATCATCATCATCGTACGGAACGGGATGGGATGATCGTCATCATCATCATCTTGATGATCGGGGCTCTGCTGGCTGCTACTGGCTGCTGGCTGGTGGCTGGTGGCTGCTGGCTGCTCGGGGTCTTCAGTAGCCAGCCAAGTGGCAAACCAAGCGGTCTCTCTCCTCTCTCTCTCTGTCTCTCTGAAATTGGAAATTCATCTGTGTTTTCGTATTTGGATCTGTATAAATATATAAAGATTGCATGCCTGGCACGTGTCACGTGTTCCGCCGGCAGACCTTGCCGCCTCCTCTGGTGCTGCTCTTTGCCGGCCTGCTGCTCCTCGGCGATGGCATTGCTGTGCAGGGCCTTCACCGCCACAGCATCATGATGAAAACCTTCCGCTATCTGCAGGAGACCATGCTGCGGAACAGCCTGGAGCGGGCCCATCTCAATCATGGCATTGTCTTTGAATGCCGCACCATGTAAGTCGTAAAAGGGGCAGGGACAGGGGCAAGGGCCGTGATTGATGACTGATTTTCGCACCCTTTGCACACTTTCCCCCCTCCCCACCAGTTCGGACAGGGACTTTGGCAACGAGGTGCACTTCCTTCTGCAGTTGGGGGATCTTCGGGGCTTCCGACAGCTGGATGCCTCCAAGAAGCTGGCCCTCTTCCTGCATGGCTGGAACGACAAAGGCAGCAAGGACTGGGTGCAGGAGCTGTTGCTGAGTAAGCAATTCGAGAGCGTTCCCCCCACCCTTGATTGTGACTCCCTCACTCTCCGTTCTCCTTCCCCTTCTCCCCACCGCCAGCATGGACCCTTTTTGATGCCAGCTACAACGTGTGCGTCGTGGACTGGGGAAATCTGTCGCAGAACGACTACAAGACCGCTTCTATGTCCATCTTCGATGTGGGCCTCACGGTGGCCGGGATCATCATGGCCCTGGAGGAGCTGCGTCCCAGCCAGTTCCATCGCAGCAACGTTACCCTGGCCGGCTACAGTCTGGGGGCCCATGCAGCCGGCTATGCCGGAGCGGTGCTCGAGGGCCAGGTGGAGCAGATCATCGGCCTGGATCCGGCCGGACCGCTCTTCTCGCTGCCCGCCGAGGTCTCGCCCAAGTACCGGCTGGACCCCAGCGATGCCAAGTTCGTGCAGGTGCTGCACACCTCCGGCGGCTCCTTGGGGACGAGCCTCAAGTGCGGGCATGCCGACTTCTATCCGAACGGTGGCCGGGCACCGCAGACGAACTGCAAGATGTTCATGAATCTCCGCGACATGCAGAACACAAGTGGGTGGCAGATCCTTGGATTCTTCCAACAAGAAACATTGACTGGTTTTTCTTTTAGATCCCATTGCCTGCAGCCATTCAGCGGCTGCCATCTTTTTCCGACAGTCGATGGACCCGCAGTACCCCTTCGTGGGCTACGAGTGCGGCAGCTACCGGGAGTTCGCCGCCGGATATTGCGACCAGAACCGACGGGCCCGTTTCGGCATCCACTCGCAGAGGAGGGCGCAGGGGAGCTTCTACTTCACGACCGCCTCCCAGCAGCCCTATGTGCAGCGGCGGCTGGGTGGTTGGCTGAGCGGCGTGGGGCGGCAGGTGGACTCCACCTCCGCCTCTGGCCAGAAGAAGAATGGTCCAGGTCAGCTCATGCTGCGCCTCTGGACGAGCGGTTGGCGGAGGGGCGCCAGTCGCACTCGGGAGCGGAGACGAGAGCGGAGCCGACAAAGAGATCTGTGTCGGTGGCAGTAGTTCCTAATGTTTTTTTTTTTTTATTATTATTATTTATGTTATTTTTTTACAGTAAAATATATTTCCAGCCGAAAAGTATGTAAAACGTATGTAGATGTAAATGTATGTAGATATTGAAAAGAGAGTAACCGAAGCAACACCAACGAAAGAGAGTAGTCGAACCGTAACAACGAAGAGAGTAGCGAAACACCGCAAAGCATTCACTCTCTTTAGCCATCGGTAGGCCTCGGCTGTGCAAGCATGTCGCGATCATCGGACGGTGGCTCTTGCAGCGATCTCTGCGCCTCTGCGACTATCTGCCAGGGAAGGATAGACGCTCTCTTCGTGCGATTATCCAATAAGAGATCTACGCGCCACTTCCCTGCCTGGCCAGGCACATACTCCCCCACGCCAATGCCCCGTAAATATTTCCGTTCAATTTGGCAGGCTCCAAATGTTCCTTTTACTCGGAATTGCATGTTGGCCAAAACGAACAAGCCCACACACATGGCCAAGTCGTTGACTTGCAACAGCAAGGGGATGGGGTGGGGTGGACACACACGAGCAATACACGCAGAAGTCGGGGCTGGGGCTGGGGCTGGGGCTGGGGCTGGGGCTGAGCTGCATTTAACAGTTAATCGTAAAACAAAAATGAGAAAAAGCGAAGCGAAGCGAAGGAGCAACAAAAGCCGCAGCAGCAGCAGCAGCAGCGAGAAACGAAAAACAATAAACTGAAATTCAATTTTCGCATTGTAAAACATAATTTTCTACAAAACTTGACGTCAGCTTGGCCCGCTTTTTGCGCTAAAAGGTAGTTAATATTTTTGCAGTCCATTGCTGGCCAGATTCTCCCCCCTCACCCCATCACCCCCTCCCAAGGTATGTGCAATAATGAAGGTAGGGTCTCCCATATTAATATTGTTCTTAATTTTCGTGAATGCCTTACCCCCTGGTTTTATGTACCGTTGGTGCACCCTGTTCCCTGGCTTCAGTCTCCGCCATTTTCTGCTGTACATTCCACTCGAGTTGTTCTTGTTCTTGTTACTCCTCCAGTTCCTGTTGTGTTCCGTTCCGTTCCTCTGGCTGCTGCTGCTGCTGCTGCTGCTGCTGCTGCTGCTGCTGCTGCTGTTGCTCCTGCTCTTGTTCCTGTTCCTCCTCCTGCTCTCTCTTGTTCCTGCCGTTCCTGCCGTTCCTCCCGTTCCTCTGGCTCTTGTTGTTGCTCTGCCGGCTGCTTCCTGTTTTGTAGCTGTTTTTGAAATTTATGGCACCGTCGTCGCTGCTGCCCCGTCGACTTCTCGCATGAGTTATGCGCTTTTTATTTCAGCTCCTGGCCACGTTAAGTGTTAAATTGTTTTATGCATGCATGTGCGGGACGCGGGACGCGCTGTGTGCCAGGGCCCGTGCCCGTGCTGGTGTCGGGGCCAAGAGGTGGCAAGTGGTGCACACACACAGGGCCACTTCTAATAGGTGGCTCGGACTTGCCATTTAATTATGAAAGTTGATTCTCACAAAACATTTCAAGAGGCAGACAAAGAGAGAGAGAGAGAGAGAGAGAGAGAGAGAGAGCGAGAGCGAGAGAGAAGGAGAAGCCGAAGGAGGGAGCGAGTCCTGGAATGTGTAGCTCTCGAAAGGCATTAAGGGAAAGAGATGTTCATATATGTATATGTATCCATATGAGCATATGTATGTGTGTGAATTAATTTGGATTCATTTTATTGAAATTGGATGCCAATTTCACATAATTAAGAACCCAAATCGAAAAACAAAAAAAAGAGTTACAATAATAATGAATTTTACTACAAATTTCATGGTTATTTCAACCATTTTTCAATACAATTTAGAAACCTATTTTAAAATAAATTGTTCTATACATTTTGTAGGTAAATTCCATCGATGTTCGGCCCCAAAACATGCCCCAATGTGTGCATGTGTGCGGTGTGTGTGTGTGCGTGTAATTTAGAATGTGTTTTTGTAGTACTTAATTTTCGGAACAAGTTGGCAGTCATCGGCTCGAGTGCGGACACGAATAGCAAGCAAAAAGGAGAGAACAAAACAAAGAACAGAAAGAAGAAGGAGGTGGAGCGCAGAACAAGTAGTAATTTTTTCTACTGTTGACTCGAACCAACAAAGTGGCAAGCGTTAATGCGAAAATCATTCACACACAAGCACACACACATACACTCTCAGAGAGCGAGAAGGAGAAGTTACCCCATAGCCAGTGCGCGAGGGAAAGAGAGAAGCGAGAGGTGGTGAGGGGGGAGGGGGGAGGGGGGAGGCTAAAATCTAAAGCAAATTAACGTTTTAAACACCTCAAAAGTTTCGTGTTCTCAATGGCTCCCTTCCCTTCTCTCTCTCCCATTCTCTTTCTGCTCCTGCTTCGGTTTCCCCTCTCTTTCTCTTTCGCTCTGCCTGTGCATATTCATTGCACCTGGCGTCGAGTCGACGTCGTCCTGCTGCCGCTGCTGCTGCTGCTGCCGATCCTTGCGCAAAAGTTAAGTGTTTCTTTAGCTTAATAACGGAAACATTTTAGTTGCTGTTGCTGTCGGACGGGGACGTGGATGGGGGGCGGACCACGGGGCGGCTGAGCGATACGATAGACGCTTACACATAAACACATTCAAATGCTTCCGGCAATGTGTAATAGCTGTACAAGGACGAGCAGGTCCTGGGCTCTGGCTCTTCATGTCCTGGCTTCGAATGCCCTCCAGTGGCTGTAAATAACTCGCAGCAGGTGCCCCGTCCGTGCACCCGTGCATCCGTGCCCCGTCTAAAGACGTCATCAATGTTGCCAGCAAGAAGGTGAAATACCAGAGAGAGGGAGAGGGAGAGAGAGGGAGAAAGAGAGAGAGAGAGACAGAAACACTGGACTGGCCAAAAGGAACTGCAGCTTGTGGCAACGTTTTCTTTTGATTACACGCCGTGTGGTCTCCCCCATTGTTCTCCCACACAAACTGCCCACCCCCTGGCCACCCGCAGCCCACCCACTGCCACAGTCTGTGCGACTCTCCGCATAAGTGCAAATGAGCATGAAGGATGAAATATTAAGAGTCGTCTTGGACTTTGGTTTTTTTCGGTCCATGACTCCTTAGGGCTTCTCCCGCTCTCCCGCCCTCCGATCTCTCCTCTCCAGTGCACTCATTTGGCCAAATGCAATTTTCGCTAAGAGCGCATATCCGCCAAAACAGACACAAAAAATGGCAGCGGCCAGCAGCAGGCAGCAGGCGGCAAGGCGGCAAAAAACTTGGTCAAGTCAGCAAGTCGGCCAGCTACACTGCCCAAAAAAATCACAAAAAAAATGTAGAAATTATAGAACAATTGCTTTTCGAAGTTTGTCAACCTTTTGGCCAGAATATACAATATAGTCAACCGATTTTGGATATTCCGAACCAAAAGAAAAGTCTTTAAGAGAGAGTCAAGTTTTCAAAGATCTTAAGAAATCTTGGCTAGGGGCTATATATGTACATATGTATGCACATACATACATATATGCATGTACATATGTATAGCCTCTAGAGTAGAGTCTTGGGGCGACTATGGAATCACAAAAATCTAGACAGCCCAAAAGTATGCTATGATTTTTGTGCTCAGTGGAGTGTCAGGATGTTCCTCTTGGACTGTTTTTTTCTCTCTGGTCGTATCTCTTCTCTCTAGCTCTTCTGGCTCTCTCCTGCCGCGTTCCCCAGTCGACCATCATGGGACAGTGGCAACAACATTGCTCCTCTTCTCTCTCTCTGTCTCCTCTGTGGCATGCTGCAGCACGGCCGGCGCTTGACAAAAGTTATGGGGTATTCCCCTCGCACTTCAGGACAGCATGATGTCCTGCTTGTAATTGGAGCATGTGTTGCCGTCGCCCCCACTCCCCAAGAAAAATGTGGCAAGATCTAAGGATAACCTGAGACGAAAACACTTGATCGACTCGGCATCGCTTGACTTGAAACAGCCCCTCGGTACATCCCTCTGTGCCTCATTGTGTGGCAACATCCATCCCCTGCTGGTCGGTCTCCATTTACTGCGACACTAAAATATTGTGTTGCAGCTTTGCCTGATTATCATTTGCCGCTCCAAAAGGCAGCCTTTTCGAGGGCTGGCCATTGGACACCTGACCTGCTCTCTCTGTCTCTCTGTCTTTATCGCTATCCCTTGGTCTTGCTTTGTGCACTCGAGGTGATTAAATTTCCGCGAGAGGAAGAGGGAGAGAGGCTCAGCACGAGAGGTACTGGGGAGGTTTGAGCATTCAATTTCCAGTGCATACAATTTAGTTAATAACTTTTAAGCAAAGAGCCTCATAAACTCTATCTTCACAACTCTCCCTCTCTCTTTCTGTCCCTCTGTGCCTCTCTGTGACAGCACTCTTTGTTTTAACAAATGGCCAGCAATAAACTAAACGCTGCGGATTACGACTAGGTGGCCAGAAAAATGATTCGAAACGGAAGGAAAGAGAGAAAGAACAAAAAAAAAAGAATCACGATACTTAGGGCTCGCACAGCCAATCGAAGGGGCTATCGATGGATATTGATGGACCGATTAGGGAAACAACTAATAAATTGCATTTCAAGAATATCATGAGTATTGTCAGTCCATCTCTAGCTATGGTAGATCCTTCAAGGGTCCATCTCTAAGTCGCTCAGACGCATCTCCATCTCTCTCTCTCTCTCTCTCTCTCTCTCTCTCTCTATCAGTCTGTGTGTGTGGTGCGGTGTGGTGTGTGTCCTGCCAGTTGATATGTCCTGGCTCTAAGGATGCTTTTAACCAAACAACAGCCAGGGATAACAGCAGGGGCAACAACAAAAATGCCCCAACAACTTAAGCTTAGCAATGACAGTGGCGTGAAAGTGGCCAAACGAGAAGAGAGAGAGGAGAGAGGAGAAAGGAGAAAGGGGTGCGAAGGAGAGAGAGCCATATAAAGGATAAGCGCAAAAACGGAGACAATGCGGAAAATTGTAAGACACTAAAATTGGCTAAAAGGACTCAACAGCCAAACAGGAAGGACAGGCAGTAGTATGTTGATGCTGTGCCACCCCACACCCCCGCTCTGCTTGCAACACCTCCTTTTGCCCCAGTGCCACACAACCACCTCCTGCCTCCTGCTTTGGGGGCTCTTTGAGGGAAGGAACTCATAAAAGTGAGCAACAAATTTCATTGTTTATAGCCAGGCTTCGGCTACATGTGTGTCTCCCTGTTTCTTACTCTCCCCTCTCCCACTCCCTCTCCCACTCCCTCTCCCACTCCCTCTCCCACTCCCACTCCCACTCAATCTGTCTCCCTTTCTCCGCGTGTCTTTGTGTTTTGCAATTTGCTTGCCATAATGCCGGGCAATTTTGTGTTAGGACCCTGCCTCTGCCCCTGCCCCTGCCCCTGCCACCACTCGCAGCACTTATGCTTCTTCAGACCTCGACTTGTGCCTCCCATAAATAAAAATTAGTTTCACTTTCATCTGGCAGTTTCACTTTCACTGGTTTTTCTTAGGGAAAACTATTTCGAAGATAGAGTATTTTTGTGGAATTTCCGTGGATTTTTCCCCCAAACGCTTTCTAGTTCTCGTTAAAGATCCGAAAAAGCGTTTGGAAATCTTTACAAGTGAATTGCGTGCTTCCCATAAACCCGCACGGATCCTTCCGTTGTAATCTGTTGATGCCCCCTCGCACATGGTTTATTAGAAATCCATTTTATTACAACTCCCTTCTGCCCCTCCACAGTCCCCACCCGCGTGGTGTGGCAAAGCGTGAAATTAAATTTGACTTGCCTCAATATCATTTTCATTTTCATAGTTTCCCCTCCCCCCACCCCGGTGGGGAGCTTGCAAGGAAGGGTTTCTATATAAAATATTCGAATAAAAAGGAAAAAAACAGTGTGCCTAGCGAAACTATGCACATATATATTTTTTGGCAATTTTTACGTTCCAGAGTTTGGAAATCGTGAAGGAAAAGCTGCGTGCGGAAGCGTAACGAACATTTTTATCCATGGCCATGGATTTTTACTAGGCCCTAAAATTATATTTTCATTGTTATGTACCCCCCATTGCCCCTTTGCCCACTGGTTCCCGTCATGCCACAAATCCTTCAAGCAGACCACGGGCTTGCGCCCATTTGTCCTGCTTGGGGAGCTCCGAGCGACTGGCGGCTGGCCACTAAACCCCGAGCTGCCGAGTGACCACGTCTCGTGGCTCCTGCGAGTCCTGTGGTGGATTCGCGTGACGGCGTCGTGTGTGGTGTGTTTTCAGCGAGGCGGCTGTGCAAGCAGCAACAGTTGGTCCCTGGAAGCCACTGCCACTGCCACTGCCACTGGAAGGAGGAAGGAGGAAGAAAAGCATTGGCTTGGGGTTTGTGGGACTGCCGGGAAGTTAACCAGAAATGTATTTGAACGAAAAACCCAAAAATATAGATCATATGGAATTTTTGCTACTATGGCTGCGAGTGAGAGCGTGAGCGCGAGTTCTCCGCCGAGGGCTCTTTATCGGAAGAGGCTTCCCAGTAGATGGAGAGAACGTGCGTGCGTGGCACCTTGACGATGCCCAAGTGAAGCTTCTTCCCGGTCAGTGCACCGATCATGAGAATCTCGCTGCATTGGGTCAGCACGATTTCCCCCTCGGGGGTCAGCATTTCCAGCTTTCCGCACAGTTTCCCCTTGACACCGCTCTTTGCGGACAGGCCGAGCTCAATCATCTTGCCGAAATATGGTAGTATATTTAGGTAGCCCAGTCCAAGCTGCTCCGCATCGACGTCCACCCGTTCTGGGATGTTGGGGATTATTTCGAAAAGCGGCTTGTACATCGGATCACGCTCGCGTGAAGAATTCATTTTGCGTGTCTGCAAAAGCAAATGCAAAAGCAAGAATACGATAATTAGCACTCGATATGTTACTATATAGAGGATTTACTACAGCTATATCTATATCTATATCTATACATACCTTCTTGTTTAGAGTTGAAAAATCAGCAAAGTTTTTCCTGGAATATGTGTATCTCCGACACACAATGGGAGGTTTCTGTGTATGCCTCTGTTCAGTGTTGAATGACTACTATTTGACAGCAATGGAAGCTGCCACTATATCGAAATAGGGCTTGCTGTTTTGCTACACTAACAACACTGACACAAAACTGACATAAAAAACTTTAAATAAATATTATACGTTAGCTTTTGTAGGAAATATATTTAATTCAAACATAAAAATGTTTAATCTATATCTATATATATATCTAAATCTATATCCATATCTATATCTATATCTATATCTATATCTATATCTATATCTATAACTATATCTATATCTATACATACCTTCTTGTTTAGAGTTGAAAAATCAGCAAAGTTTTTCCTGGAATATGTGTATCTCCGACACACACTGGTAGGTTTCTGTGTATGCCTCTGTTCAGTGTTGAATGACTACTATTTGACAGCAATGGAAACTGCCACTATATCGAAATAGGGCTTGCTGTTTTGCTACACTAACAACACTGACACAAAACTGACATAAAAAACTTTAAATAAATATTATACGTTAGCTTTTGTAGGAAATATATTTAATTCAAACATAAAAATATTTAATCTATATCTATATATATATCTATATCCATATCTATATCTATATCTATAACTATATCTATATCTATACATACCTTCTTGTTTAGAGTTGAAAAATCAGAAAAGTTTTTCCTGGAATATGTGTATCTCCGACACACACTGGTAGGTTTCTGTGTATGCCTCTGTTCAGTGTTGAATGACTACTATTTGACAGCAATGGAAACTGCCACTATATCGAAATAGGGCTTGCTGTTTTGCTACACTAACAACACTGACACAAAACTGACATAAAAAACTTTAAATAAATATTATACGTTAGCTTTTGTAGGAAATATATTTAATTCAAACATAAAAATGTTTAATCTATATCTATATATATATCTAAATCTATATCCATATCTATATCTATATCTATATCTATATCTATATCTATATCTATATCTATATCTATATCTATATCTATATCTATATCTATATCTATATCTATAACTATATCTATATCTATACATACCTTCTTGTTTAGAGTTGAAAAATCAGCAAAGTTTTTCCTGGAATATGTGTATCTCCGACACACACTGGTAGGTTTCTGTGTATGCCTCTGTTCAGTGTTCAATGACTACTATTTGACAGCAATGGAAGCTGCCACTATATCGAAATAGGGCTTGCTGTTTTGCTACACTAACAACACTGACACAAAACTGACATAAAAAACTTTAAATAAATATTATACGTTAGCTTTTGTAGGAAATATATTTAATTCAAACATAAAAATATTTAATCTATATCTATATATATATCTAAATCTATATCCATATCTATATCTATATCTATATCTATATCTATAACTATATCTATATCTATACATACCTTCTTGTTTAGAGTTGAAAAATCAGCAAAGTTTTTCCTGGAATATGTGTATCTCCGACACACACTGGTAGGTTTCTGTGTATGCCTCTGTTCAGTGTTGAATGACTACTATTTGACAGTAATGGAAACTGCCACTATATCGAAATAGGGCTTGCTGTTTTGCTACACTAACAACACTGACACAAAACTGACATAAAAAGCTTTAAATAAATATTATACGTTAGCTTTTGTAGGAAATATATTTAATTCAAACATAAAAATATTTAATCTATATCTATATATATATCTATATCCATATCTATATCTATATCTATAACTATATCTATATCTATACATACCTTCTTGTTTAGAGTTGAAAAATCAGAAAAGTTTTTCCTGGAATATGTGTATCTCCGACACACACTGGTAGGTTTCTGTGTATGCCTCTGTTCAGTGTTCAATGACTACTATTTGACAGCAATGGAAGCTGCCACTATATCGAAATAGGGCTTGCTGTTTTGCTACACTAACAACACTGACACAAAACTGACATAAAAAACTTTAAATAAATATTATACGTTAGCTTTTGTAGGAAATATATTTAATTCAAACATAAAAATATTTAATCTATATCTATATATATATCTAAATCTATATCCATATCTATATCTATATCTATATCTATAACTATATCTATATCTATATCTATACATACCTTCTTGTTTAGAGTTGAAAAATCAGCAAAGTTTTTCCTGGAATATGTGTATCTCCGACACACACTGGTAGGTTTCTGTGTATGCCTCTGTTCAGTGTTGAATGACTACTATTTGACAGTAATGGAAACTGCCACTATATCGAAATAGGGCTTGCTGTTTTGCTACACTAACAACACTGACACAAAACTGACATAAAAAACTTTAAATAAATATTATACGTTAGCTTTTGTAGGAAATATATTTAATTCAAACATAAAAATATTTAATCTATATCTATATATATCTATATCCATATCTATATCTATATCTATAACTATATCTATATCTATACATACCTTCTTGTTTAGAGTTGAAAAATCAGAAAAGTTTTTCCTGGAATATGTGTATCTCCGACACACACTGGTAGGTTTCTGTGTATGCCTCTGTTCAGTGTTCAATGACTACTATTTGACAGCAATGGAAGCTGCCACTATATCGAAATAGGGCTTGCTGTTTTGCTACACTAACAACACTGACACAAAACTGACATAAAAAACTTTAAATAAATATTATACGTTAGCTTTTGTAGGAAATATATTTAATTCAAACATAAAAATATTTAATCTATATCTACATATATATCTAAATCTATATCCATATCTATATCCATATCTATATCTATATCTATATCTATATCTATATCTATATCTATATCTATATCTATAACTATATCTATATCTATACATACCTTCTTGTTTAGAGTTGAAAAATCAGCAAAGTTTTTCCTGGAATATGTGTATCTCCGACACACACTGGTAGGTTTCTGTGTATGCCTCTGTTCAGTGTTCAATGACTACTATTTGACAGCAATGGAAGCTGCCACTATATCGAAATAGGGCTTGCTGTTTTGCTACACTAACAACACTGACACAAAACTGACATAAAAAACTTTAAATAAATATTATACGTTAGCTTTTGTAGGAAATATATTTAATTCAAACATAAAAATGTTTAATCTATATCTATATATATATCTAAATCTATATCCATATCTATATCTATATCTATATCTATATCTATATCTATATCTATAACTATATCTATATCTATACATACCTTCTTGTTTAGAGTTGAAAAATCAGCAAAGTTTTTCCTGGACTATGTGTATCTCCGACACACACTGGTAGGTTTCTGTGTATGCCTCTGTTCAGTGTTCAATGACTACTATTTGACAGCAATGGAAGCTGCCACTATATCGAAATTGGGCTTGCTGTTTTGCTACACTAACAACACTGACACAAAACTGACATAAAAAACTTTAAATAAATATTATACGTTAGCTTTTGTAGGAAATACATTTAATTGAAACATAAAAATATTTAATTTAATAATAACTTAATTTAAGTAGCTACTACCCTGCCACGTTCCGAGCCGGAAACACGGCACATTTCCGCCCCCTCCATCGTCACTTCTTCTTCTCCCCCTCTGACAAGGCAAGCCAATACCGTAACTCGTGTTACCCAGCCACTTTACAGCCAGGACTGCTACTACACATATGACGATAAGCAGTAGGCGCCGCACTTATTTTATAATGTACCATTTCAAAGGTATAAACACAATAAAAACAGCTCTCTCATTTGAGAGACTGTCATCACAAAGGCGAAAGGCTGAAAGGCGTTTGACAGCCCAGGACTCTCAGCCTACTTCATTGAAAAATGCGAAAATCGCGGTTTTCACCATTTTATATACAGCCTATAACCATCTTGAGACTGAATTGTCTATATCCAAATTTCAGCTCTACTTCTGCATTGAGAGACGGCCTTCCTTTGGGTTCCCTTTTACTTGTGTAAAAGGCCATTTAGATGCATTCTATATGAATATATACAGACTTTCGTTATATCTTTCAATCAGATGCGGTTTCTTATCTCAAAGTCTCTGGCCCACAATCGTTCCTGGCTAATTCACCTTTTTCTGGGTAAAGGCCCAATTAAATGCAAATTTACCAAATATTAAATTTTATTGTCAGGATGAGAATTTTGCCAGCGGGTTTCCTCTCTGCCCCGCCTGTTGCTCTGCCACACGATGGATACATTTTATTTAACACAAAAAACCGTCTAGAAAGATAACCAGAAAGATAACGGCGCATCGCAGGTGAAATACCCTTCAAATAAATTTCTTCTTTTTCAATTGAAACAACATTGGTCGGTGGTCATCAGCTGCGAGGAGGACATCATTTGCATTGGCTCGCCTGTGAATTCTATTTCGATGTTGTCCTTATTTTTAATCACCTTTGGCCCCTGCTGTTCCTTGTTGAACCGCAGTCCTGTCTGCTCTTCGATATCCTTGACGCGGACACGATGCTCGCACAAACATCCCGCCATATCGGAGGGGCCATTTTTGATCACGTATGCCTCGATGGTCACTGGCTGAACATCGCCGCCGGGCACCTGTGACTCCTCGATGATCAACACTTTGAAATAGTGCGACGGCACAGGCACGGGCATGGAGGCGTTTCCACACTCCCTGTACTCCAGCCACGATTTATCGGTGCCGTGGTTTTTGGGTGTGAAAATGGGACCCGTGTAGGTGTACAGCGACCCGCACTCCTGGGTCTTCAATGTCACATACCGCTCCAGCTCCTGCCAGATCGGACGCGTGAAGACTCTGCCAATCTCCGCGCAGGCACCGGTCAGCAAAAAGACATCAGTGTATCGAAGATACTCAGGCTCATCTGGCGATGACCCGGCGCGGAAATGCTCGCAAATCCACGTGGCGCTCTTCGTTTCTATGCCACGCGACATTATGTAGTCCTTGTGCACCAACAAGTGCTCGGCACTAGGCAAGCCGTACTTGAGAAGATCCAGAACATTCGCCAGGGGGGGCTCTTCCGAGCCCATTTCCTCCTTCGGTTTCGGCAGCAGAAACTTGAGAAGTGGTTTGACTCGATCGCATATCTTGTCCTTCAGCCCCACCGGACGGCTCCACAGTCTAGCCTCGTGATTGGTGCTGAACGTCGAAAGCTGTTGGGTGGAGGTTGTGATTGGAGGTTACTCCCACACCCACACCCATACCATGCCTGAGGGGCAAGTACTCACCACAGGATACAACTTGCGGCGATTGTGGTACACATAAGGATCCCTCTTGATCACATCGAATAGATTATTGATGGATGTCTCCTGCTGCAGAAAGGCACCGCAAACGAATGCCGCCACTCCAACCGAGGCGTACAAGGCAATATCTTGTGGTTCTGGCATTGTCTGTCGTCTTTAATTGTTTATTGTTCTACTATATTTTTCGAAAAGTATATGTACTACGTGCGGAGAGGTTCTATTTATGAGTATTTGCGTAGTCCAACGTTGAATAAGTTTTAAAACAAAGCCTACTCTTGCGTTGAGAAACTATGTAACTGAGAAACTGAAACTGAGACACTGGGTGAGTCCCTTTCATTCCTTTGCACAATCAATCTCTCTCTCTCTCTCTCTCTCTCTCTCTCTCTATCTCGAGCACCAACAAGGTATGCATATATTGCGGTGGGACACGGACAATGCATCTCTCAATTGCACGACTGTGTTCAGGAAAAGACTATAAAATACCAGGATGTTGCACTGGGGACCAAAAAGCTGTTCTATGGCGGGGTTTAACAGGTTAACAGTCCAGGTTAACAGTCCAGGTTAACAGTCCAGGTTAACAGTCCAGGTTAACAGCCTGTTACTCCTCACGGGGACCGATCTGCATTAACAGCCCGTTTACGGCATTATGTTATACATATATACACAAGTATATACATATGTAGATATATCACTCCGACGACCCCAGCCATTCAGCCAAAGTTTTCTCTCTTGTGGCTACAAAATTCCTCACAATTCGAATGTACCCTCTGCAAAGGTACACAAAATTTGGCTAAAAATACATACATAAATACATACAAATATAAGATGGTGAGACGAGACGAGACGAAACAAAATAAAAGCGACAAAAAGCACACGGAGTGAAGGAAACGAAATTGTTGCCGTTGGACAATACGATAAAATTGAAATCTAACGAAAATAGAACCGAAAATAGTGCAACACAAAACAAAAAATTTGGGTTTCTATTTGCTTTGCTTTCGCTCTCGACTCCTGGCTCACTTTTTTGCTAGTTTTTGTTTTTGCAAAATTAATATAAATTTTAAATATGCAAAAATATTGGGGATACTCGTGCAGAACTCCACGCCAGAGAGGGATCCAGAGGTGCTAGAGAGCTGGTTATATAACAATAATATGAAAAAGGCCGACAAAATACTTTAACAAATACCAAAAACCGACATTTTACCAACTGCATATTACGTTATGCATATTTCATTTATGCCCAAAACAAATACACAATGCAGGACCCACAGGGACCCCCGGCGCACCAGGGGGATCGGACTGGGCCTTGCCCGGCTCCGACGGATTATTCCCCGATAACAACAAAAACTTCGGATACTCTACGTGGCAGGTATCCCAAAGTGCACTCATTATTCAGAATCCTTTTCATTCGACCAATTAATAGAAAACCGTCTGGAGATCACAGGCAGCTTTGGGCCTCTCTATGGGAATATTCTGTAGTGCCAAAAACGGATGGTTTTTCCTTCTAAACCATGCGAGAGATGCACCCACGTTTTGGCAGGGCATACGGGCATTGCATCTGCATCTGCATCTGTCGGCATTTTTGCATTTAATGCCATAAAAGTTTATCTGCAAATGTGTCGCTGTGTGTGTGTGTGTGTGGGTGTAGGGAATTGCTACTTTTATTTTCAGTATTTTAATTAAATAAAAATTTATTTGTTTACACACACAGACAGACGGACAGGCAGACTGCCAGACGGCCAGACGGACAAACAGACAGAGAGCCATAGTCTGGGGCAGGAAGCGGGGACGGGGACAGAAGGCGAATCAACGAACTTAATTGAGACCATTTTGTGCAATTTTGCTCTCGTTTACATTTCTCCAACTCCACTTTCCACTCTCCACTCTCCACTCTCGACTCCCGACTCTCGGCTCGACTACGTCCACACTTTACTTAATTAATCACACAAAAAATGAAGGGAAGGCGGGAGGGTGGAGGGACGAAACCGCCTGGAGAGGCGGCAAAAACATGTAAATTGGTAAAGGAATTTATCCCACAATTTATGGTAGAAAAATCCTATAGCTGGGACCACTCTACTTTCATTTTCAAATAGCGGGGAAAGCAACAGCGTCCTTCTCTCTACATATGTACATCCATCTAGGCCTTAAGCGTATCGAATGTGTGCTCAGGGCTTAGCCCTTTGAGCACAGGGTATCCACAAGTCGATCCACTCACCTGGCCTACTCCCGCGGGCTTTGTTTATATGAATTTCTATAAATTTAAACCACTTCTGTTCCGGTTTTTAAATGTCAGGCCAAAACTTACATTTCGAGCACATTTCCGGAGTGCAAATGTTTTTTTTTTGTCCCTGGGTTTATGGTCTCGTTTTTCGCTTCTTGTTTTTGCCAAGATAAACATATCAAAAAATGTTTAGTTTTATCCGAAAATAAATTGCAAAAATGTCAGTACCCTTACGGAGGGTATTGCGATTCTGAGAGGTTGTTTTTACATTTATTCCACGGTTTCTTGTATCGAGTTTCGCGACTATCCTTGCGGGGTGATACAAATCGAAGAGCCAAGAAAAAGGACCTATTTGTGGTGTCTCCTTGATGGCCACGCCGTCTTTGAGTCGGCGACAACCCCCCACAAAGGGTGGTATCTCGAGCTTCAGATACCTCGATTGACCGAGAAACCTTCCCGTGTCTGGATCGTCGGGGACGCTTGCGAGGACTTCAAGTGCATCAGATTCCATCTGTAATCGAGAATAAAATAGTTCAGTCAATGGGCAAGCTCCGACTTGTGAGTACACAAACAAAAAAAATTTAATTTTCACGAAAAGGTGGAAAAGGTGGGTAAACAGAGAAAATTCCAACAATAAGAACAACTGATTTATTCAGAGAACACTTCATTATAAAGCAGACTTGGGGTGTACCTACATACATACATATATCAAATGAATAAAGATGGGAAATTATCAATTCAATAGTTTATTTTCTGCGAATAATTCGGCCATACTCAAGAGTATGTAAATCATTAATTTGTGTAATACCCTTGAGTGTTTCTTGAGTACGACTGGAGATGAAAGGGTATCTAAGGCTTCGACTTCAGTAGTAGCTCTTGTTTCATATTTTGCTGGCCCTCCTTTATTTTTGCAGTATCACAGAAAATGAAAATAAAAACTACCAAAGGAAGAGGTTAGCGGGAAGAGGGGCCTGCAGGGGGTCTGGCTATGGGTCTGTGTTTGATGTTGTTATCGCTGGCGTTGTTTTTGTAGTCGTTGCTTCTGACAAAACGTTTCAATTAGTGCGATTATTACATAAGCAACAAAAGCTACCCGAAAATCGTTTTTGTCGCCTGCAATTTGTTTCGTTTGTTTCGCCCTTCTCCTCTCCCCGTTTGACCGTGTTGTAAGTGTTTCAGTGTTTATTTGTTAGGCGTTTGACGCTTATAACTCACTCTACCTCTCCCTAGAGTGGGTCTCCTCCGGTGGAGGGAGACCTTGCCAAAGCGTATCCATACAGAATCAGATACGTATCATTACTATAGATGCTTTCAGATGCTCTTAATGATGCGACTTGACAAAGGCAAGAAAGAGGAGGACCAAACCGTTATTCATTCAATTCGTATGTGCTGATAGCGTGGTCCGTGAGCAAAAGAGAGTCGTCTCAGCCGAGTGTGGCGCGGTAGTGTTGGTGACTGTGAGAGAGAAACAGAAGGAAGATCAGAAAGGAATTGTTGAGGGAGGGAGAGCAATAGAATAAATCGCTAGCTACTTTACCCATACATGCGTACATACGTTGTTAATTAACTTGTGAAGACCCTGCATACATACATACATACATCATTCGTATGAACATACCTGCATACATACATAAATGTTTCTTAAACAATTAAATGCCTGAATTTCGAGCTGGTTTATGTTTTTCTTTTGGCCCAAGCAGTCGGAATGCCCGTGTGGGGCGGGACCCCTGATCTCCGATCTCCGATCTCCGATCTTCGGCCATGCCGTCGCGATGGTGGGCATGGTATTGTATCCATTACACTGCTGCTGGATCTGCTGGCGGCTCTTATGCAATGCAGCAGCAGCAGCAGCACTCTCTTACTGCCGCTGCCTCTGCAGCACTTGCAGCTTGTGCCGTTTGCAGCGCTTACGCTGCCTCTGCCAACTCTCGACGAGCTTTGGGCTTGGAGTTGCTCTCCCGCTGCTGCCGTCTCTGCCTGCATTTTGGAGCTCGACTTGGCACAGTGGGCACGATTGGCAATGCGGTGGTGACAAAATCACATCGAAGCGCGGCTCGGTACTGCTTCCTTTGTGTATTGCTGGTTTGGAAAACGGTGTGTAGGTACTAGGACTAGTTTTTAATTCATTTTTCAAGCAAATTTGAATACGCTAAGCCGCTATTCGACTGCTTTTAGGCCGATGGCCTCCACTGTGCCCGCAGTCCGGTTCGGGCCGCCCCGCCCCGCGCTGCCACGGCCGCTGTCGACGCTGTCGACGCAGTCGCCGCTGGTAACTGCCTACATAGCTTTTTTAAGTTTAAACAATTTGGTCGCCGCTTAGTTCTCTTTCGCGTGCGCCAAACCCCAGTAACCAGGTAGCCCGGCGCCAAAATCATATATTCCCCAGCGGTCGCGGCGCCACGACCATATCGTTATAGAACTGTTTTCGATATCGAACACCGAATCAAATTGGTTTTCGAACTCGGTTTCGGTTTCTTTCGTGTGCTATTGATCTGAGTTTTCGATTTCGGTTACCCTCGCAGTGCTGTACATACATCCACCTTTTAAACTAATTGATTGATTGATTGATTGATTGACCGATTGATTATCGAGCGGCGTGAAAGTGAGTTTCAGTTTCGGTGTTTGTTTTTACCATTTACATTGCTGGTGTGACTTCTGTGCTGCATTCCGAAATACAAATATTTTTTGGGAAATATTTTTCGAATTTTCAAATTTTTTTCAATGTGTATTTTCTTATGCGGTTATTTGTGTTGTGTTGGGCAACTGTAGAGCTGTAGAGCTGTAAAGCTGCGAAGCTTAACCCCTGACTGACCCTCCGACATATTGGGCAAGAGTGCGTGCTGAAGCTGAAGCTGAATACATGTGTTGAAAATGCGTTGAAAACTAAATGATTTGTCCATGAAAATCCCCTACTATCCATAAGTTATACGAAGAATAAATCGCTGGTTTTTCCTTAAAATCGCAATCCAAAAACATGTTTCAACACTCAATTGGGTTATTAATGGGTTTTCATAAATTCAGTCTTGACCCCAAAGCAACCCCAGTTTTCACACAGATCTGACCAGATCCGATCAGGTTTTCCTTGGTCCAGTTCGGGGTTCGACGGGTGTGCCGCGATCTGCGTGTATCATGGGAAATTTCAATACAAAATCCATCGAAATCTTCAACGGAACGGCCTTGAGGTCCAACCGAAATGCCGAAAGATCAACAAAAACAAAATTCCACACACAGTCAAAAAATCCACACAGAAATAAGCAAATAAATAACAATGCTCAAAAGGTTGATTTTTGGCGGATTCCGAATCGGTTTCGAATGGGCAATGGGTCTCTCGTTTGCAGAAGACGGACCCGGACCGACGGCCGTCGGGGAGGGGTGGGGAGGGGTAGGCGAGACATCAACTGTAACCGAAACCGAAACCGAAACCGAGACGGCGACGCATGCGCAGCGGAGTGTAAACAATTTTGACCCAATTGTCGAGCTCCACTTGCCTCACCGCACCCCTCAGACCCACAGACCCCACAGACTGTGTGGCAGATTGACGTGTTCGCCTTCAGAGTTTATGCAGCTGCCCCCAAAGTGCCCCGGGGCTGCCCCATACTGCACTCGATTATGCAACAAGCGAAAGATGCAATATGCAGTTGATAGGGCTCCCATAAGGTGGGGAAATACTGAAAGAGCGGTCAAAATTCTGGGTTAAAAAGCGAAGATTCCATGGAAAATCGCCCAGCATTGCAGTTTATTTTGGCACCCGAAAACAATTTAAGCCAATTACCAGCTAATTGTTGGCATAGAAACTCCCACAAACTGGTCCCCCCTCCCAAAATGGTGGCCAAAAATAGTTTCAATTGATGAAGGCGCCAATTGACTGCTAATCAAAGCGCAACAAAACCTGGCCAAAAGCAGAAACGACCCTCGGGCCATCAATTACCACCTGTCAATGTTGGATCCGTCTGAACGTCTTATCGGTTTCCATTTAGGGCCTGCACTGACCAATTGGCCCAAAGAATTTGGTCAATATTAATGAAGAAAACCGCCAAAACATCCAGAGTGTTGGGCAAGACCCATGCACGACCTTGTCGTTTTGTGTGGGCTGTTTTTGTTTTTATTTTTCGGTTTGTTTGAAAGTCAAGGTCGAGGTTTATGTGTTTCACATTCCCATTCGATGTTTGTCGTTGATAGTTTCTATACCCTTGCAAAGGTTCGATCGATGCTCGTTCAGCCATGTTTGCCACAGAGAGCGGGGAGCATATCTGATGGCCATCGTGTAAGACGGGGAGCCCCCGTCACTTAAGCGTTCACTTAATCACATGTGGGAGCCATCGGGCATCGTCGAGCATCGAATCTGTCTCCCAGTAACTCAATTAAGTCTGCAAGTGTATCTAAAGCTTCGGCCATTGGTAGTTTTTTTGCTTGCCGGTCGATTAGCATTTGCTGAGTGACTCTTTTTTTTTCAATTTGAGGGTTTATTTTAATGGTTTATTTCAATCGAATTTCACGACTGTCATTGGGGAGCCAAGCATGAGGAATTATTTCTCGTGTTCAGTGGTGTTGTATTTTGATACAAAGAAATCTTTGGGGTATATAAATTTGAGAATGCATGCCCGAGACACCTTAACGATGCCACAGTAGCGGAGCACAGTGCTGGTGGTCATCTCGACACAGTCCTCCATCACCACATCGCCGGTTAGTGTCTCCTTGATGGCCACGCCGTGCAGGAACCGGCGACAACCCTCCGCGTTGGGTGGTATCTCCAGCTTCAGATACCTCGATTGACCGAGAAACCTTCCCGTGTCTGGATCGTCGGGGACGCTAGCGAGGACCTCAAATGCATTCACTTCCATCTGTAATACGAGAACAAAATACTTCTGTCTACGGAAACATTAAATAATATTTTCACGATTTTCGCCTCAGGAAATACTACAAATATTTCTCTCTCTCGGATTGAGATTGACAGAAAAAGGAATCGAAAGGGAAACAATTAATTGTATTTATCTAGCGAAATTATTTGTCCCAATTTGGTGGCTATCAAATAAAAAGAGATGGGAATAATTCGGCCATACTCAAGAGTCTGTGATCCTCGCATGTGCCTCTGTCTTAGGTGTATCTTGAGTACGAATGGAGATGTATCTAAGACTCTACCCAATGTCCCTACTTGTTGGATGTTTATTGGCATTTCAATTTCAATTGATTATTTATCTCGGGGGGAATAGCAGAATAATCACTGCGCTTCATAGAGGGAGTAACCCAGTGACAAAGAAATCTATTTATACAGCTGTGGAAAAACTGTGAGCAGGAAGAAAGGGGGTGATGGAAAATAGCAGCTGAAGAAATCACAATTACAAAGAAGAGGGAAAGTCCTGCTTCGAAGGTCGAAGCCCCAGATACCCTTTGCCGAGAATCTATAGTCTTTTCGGAATTTCAAACCGTTGCTTGTATACCATCCGCAAAAACTTAAAGATTCCTCCGTATTCCGGAAATTCCACGCCACGGACCCGCACGCGTCTCTCTCTTTCTCTCTCTATCAATATGTACGAGTATGTTTTATTTATTGACTCTCTTTTGGACCCCCTGAATGGCAGGATGCCGCCTTTTGACAGTTGGCACGTAGTTCTGGCCAAGACGCAGCAGCAGCAGCAGCAGCAGCGGCAGCGGCAGCAGCAGCGGGAGAGTCGGCCGCATAAAGTGTTCCAAGACGATGGGGAGTACACGTAATATGAGTTATGAGCCAGACTCGACGATCACGTAGCCGTGCCTCCCCCATGGCCCTTGGTGTTCCTCTATGACTCCCCCCTTATCCATTCTGAATTCCTTTTCCTGTGAAATAATGTTAATGCCAAACAATTAAATACGGGGGCAAAGGGAATCTTCCCCTGACTTTCCTCCACGATTGCAAATTTAATTACATCTGTAAACAATTTTTTCTTTCCCCCCCTCTGGACAGCCCCCCCTCAACCCACGAGAAAGAGACACAAACAAAACAGTTTTTCCTTTTGTTTTTTTATGATATTTTTCCTTTCCATTTTTTTACGTGTGTGTGTGTGTTTCTGTGTGTGTGTGCGGCCATTAGCAGGGGCCAAAACTAAAGGGAAAACTACAATGGCATAGTGAGGAGTGAGGAGCGAAGAGCGAGAGCTGGGGCTGCTACGCGCTGAGAAAAGCAATTTTCCGGTTGAGTTTACAAATGGCGGGCGCGGTATCCGGTCTCTTCCCGGGTCCCGGTTCCGGCGCTGAAAATAAATGACATATCACAGAGTCTGGTCACCTTTATGGGATGCCCAAAGTAAACATATGAAAGCAATGCCCAGATGGATGGTCAGCCCGCGCGGGGTGTTCGGGTGCACAGAGGGTGGAATAAGGGGTAGATAGCAGGGATACATAGGGTGTTGGATGGGGGTTTTCCCAGTTCCCAGTTCCAACTACGAAACTGGTTCGAGTTCAGATGTGGTTTGGATGGGATAGGGATTCGACGGTCAGTTTATTCGATTCGATACATCCGATATCTTTTGAACCAGATTCATTATTTCTGGAGCACACAAAAGAGAGAGTAGGATTTTGGCGATCTCTATTTCTTCTTTATCCATCTGTCTCTCTTGTTTGCAGTTCGAAAGATATGTATGTACATATGCCCTGCTCTGTCCCTCCCCGTCAGATATCAATAAATGGGTTCCCTCTCATTTGCAGGCAGCTCTCGTATCCCTGGTCGGTATATCGTTGTTTACACACCCACACACCCACACACACACACATAGATACACACACACACACGAGGACAGTTATGAATGGCAATCCATTCGCTTAATGGAATTTCGTGTTGTTTAACTTTTACGTGGCGCCAAAGTCATGGAAGCGAATGGATGGCAGCCCCCTGCCCCTCTATATCACACCCACACCCACACACACGTACACATACACATGTGTGCTTTTGGAGCGTCCTTGGCAGCTGTTTGCGGGTCAACTTGGGGTCACCATTACCCTTTCGCTAGCCGCCCAAAACCCACCACATAGAACATCGTCATAAAGCTTTATGAGCATTTATTATGCAAGACTTCTGGCTGGGTCAAGTTTCTGTCTGTGTTTTAGTTTTATGATCGCTTCCGCCTCGACACCTGCCTCCCATCCAACTCTCTCTCTCTCTCTGTGTGGCCTCTTGGCCATGTTTTAATTTCAATAAACGCACATTTTATGACTCCTCAGGTTTATGGCCACCCCAGGCCTCAGGTTTTTGGCCCGAGTTGGATTTATTTATCTTTCATTTCATTACTAGTTTTGCAAAGGCGAAGGCCAGGCTTCAAACTGAACGAATGGAATCAATCGGGGGAGAGGGCAGGGTATGTTATCTTATGGGTGTGTAATCTAGTAAAATTTCACAATATATAGTGCCATCATTTGGCACAACACTTCAAATCTAAATATCGACTTTTTCGGCTTTTTCCAGAAGTACCACAACTAAAACTGTGGCATACTTTTGGGCTTGGTCCATTACAAATTTGAATGTGGAAATAAATGTATGTACCATGAGACCATGTGTACCGCGTACCCACGGGTATCACTTTTGGGTACATTCATGCTCTGCCGGGTCAAAAAGTGGCCGAACTTTTATGGGAGACACTGTCTATATTTGAAAAAACCTTTCGATACTCTTTCTGGCAAATCTGATTTTACATACAAACACTCATGATTCCGATACTCTTAGAAAGTCAATTCTGCCAATACTATTTTGCAATCTCTGTTCTCTCTGCCATTTGAAGGGTGTACCATAAATTTTGTGGGAGACCGCCCATGGCGGCAACACACACAAATCGTTGCCGACTGCTCTGCAGGCATCGCAGTCGCCGACGACGTCGACGTCGACCACATATCGAGGACATTTAAATCGCTCTTAAGTCCCGTTTAATTGGTACTCAGCATGCAAATGCGAAATGAGGCGGAGATCCCAGGCAGCAATTGTCGCGCTCGCTCTCTCCCTCTTGTGTCTATGTCTCTCACTCTCTATCTCTTTGTCTCCTTTTGTGTGCTTATGCATGCTTGTGCGCTCGAGTGTGTGTATCATTAGTTACACATGCACATACAAGACCCTTGCAGTGGGTATGATGACTTTGACCACATATGTATGTATTTGTAGCACCAACTTCTTACTCAGAGAGCAAGAAGAGAGACGCATTCTTTACAAGCTGCGTGTTGGATCGAGAGACATTGCAGCAATTGATCTGGTAGGGTATCAGAAGGCCGACCCCGAAGCTCATTGCTGTTTCTTATCTTTCGTTCCCCCTCTCTCTTTCTGTGCTGGTCACTCTGTGTCCTGCTTATGTGCAACTGTACTTACTCACGCAAACAGTGTCAGGGAGAGAGAGAGAGAGAGAGAGAGAGAGAGAGAGAGAGCGTCGTGGGCCAGAGTGCGTAAGAGACATAGAGAGAGAGAGAGGGACACCCGCTTGGTGTGCTTGAAAGAGAATAGCATCGAATCGAATCAAATCAAATTTAATTGAAATGCCATGCAAAAATATTTTGAGAGCAGACGGACATAGAAAATTGATTGATTTTTGGCTTTTGCAGTGAACCGCCCACGCCTCCGCCTCCTCCCCTTCTTCGCTGGCAAACACCCGCCCTCTCCTACGCCCTCCCATTGATACTATAATTACAAAGAACCGTTGGCCAGTTGATGAGCCCGTTGGAAAACATAATCAAGAATGCGATTCTCACTCTCTCCCTCACTCGTTCCCCCTCGCCGACACTCTCTATTTTCTCTCTTGTTCTATCCGAAAAAGTTTTAATTTCAAATGAAGTTTGTCCAGGGAAGGAGGTGCGGAGCGGTGCGGTGCGGGCAGGATAGTCGGATGGGCAATAAAATAATCAAAGCGTGCACAAAAGTGCAACGGGAATTGCCGAAAAACCGGTTACAAAAGTAAGCAAAAGCCAGCCAATGTGGAAGATGGGCTGTGGGAGTAGAGAGTGGTGGAGGGGTACGAGAATGCCATCAGCTGAATGCAAGAGGAAGCCAAAAAGCACTGGGAAAAAGGAAGACAGATAGAGTGATATAAGCTATGATAACGAATGATGGACACCCTTTAATTGAGTGGATGTCCATACGTACTCTATGTGCATGTATAAGAAATTGTTGTTCTGATACGTGCATACATATGTACACATGTAGCTGGGAATAATAATCAATTAACATGCCCACTGAAAAACCATTTTCAAGCATCAAGACATCCTCCTAGCCACATACTGCCGAAAGCAGCCCGTCATCCGCATTAGTTACAGGGTCGTGCTAGAAGAAAAGGGTTTGCCCAGCTGCGGGCCAGTGCAAATTTACCTGAGACAGAAAAGTGCAGTGCCGAGGAGAGCAGCGCAGAGCAGAGGAGCACTGTAAGACAGAGCGGGACTGCCGGAGCAGACAAACTTAACTGGAAATCTAGTCGAAAAATGGGCAAAGTTGCAGCAGCAGAAAAAACGAGCCACTGGCCCGTACTGAAGAACGGGAGAGCGCTGCCCAAATACCGATGCCGTTAGTCCGTAATGAGACAGTCAGCAGGAATGAAAGCAGAGAGACAGGGACAGCTAATACGCGCCATTAGGGCATAATTAAAATGCTCAAGCAGAAGTAGAAGAAGCAGCGGCGGCAGAGACAACGACAGCAAGAACAACAACAACAGCAGCAATTGCAGCGAAAACGCTGATAATGACAACACGATGAAGAAGAAACATCTACGTAGCGGGCGGGGAGGGAGCGTGAGAGAGCAGCGAAAACTTAGGTCCAGCGCAAAGTGTTTAAAATAAAGGTAAGGCTACCAAACACACCAGCCTGCAGACTTCCAGACTTTTGTGAATGCGTAAGACAATAAGGACAAGACCGAGAAGGGGGGAGCAAAACAGCTTATCTGTGTGATTTCCTTACCTGTATTTAATTTACCGTTTGGCCGCAGTTGTTGTCAAATTGATTTAGCTTTGTTTGGGCGATTTCTTAGTTGGACTGCGGAAAAAAAGTTATATTTTGACAGTCTACACATTAACCGAAACCAACACCCCAATATTAGCCCTTAGCGATACCCCGATATTGGCCCTGACCGAACCCCATACTCTAGTGCTATAAGTTTAATGCGATACTGCGATAAGTCCGGCGGCATTGTACGATTGGCAAGACGAAGGAATGAACGTAAAAATAAAGAAATTAATAAAAAACCAAAGCTAAGAACCGCGCAAGCGAAGCACCGATAAAACTATGAAAGGGAGAGCAGCAAATGTGTGGATCGCTTCAATAGCAAGTGGTAAAACAGATTACAGTGGAGCATGGCTAAAGGTTAAATGAAACGGAGTTAATTATCTCTTGCAGTCCACGACTAGACATGCATACCAATCAAATTCTTGCATGAATTCTTAATACAGTAATATTTTCGTGCAGGATAGTGTTTACGCAATTCCTTCGTCATTTACTCAATTTACTTGTATTCCAACGGGAATCGGAAAAACAGAAATCAAAGCCAAACATTACTTCGCTCTCCGTACCGCTCTCTCTCTGCATAGTCACTCTCTTGTTGTTGCCTCTTGCGTCCTCTCTGCCTCTGCCTATATCAGTCTGCTCTGGAATTCTATGAAATGAATTTTGGCAATTAAGCAATCATTTCGCTCATATGTATGCATGCTATGCTAAGCGAATGGGAGCGGCAGGGAGATGGCGAAGTAGAAGCAGCACCAGACGCAGGGGCTGCAGCAGAGAAACTTATGCTTGAAAGACGCTGGCAGAGCTGAAGTATTGTCGAGACATTTTCAATACACATATATACGTATGTACATATGTATGTGCACATGTACAAGCGGCTTCTTAGTTTCTCTGCTGGAAGGGTATCAAAAGTTTCGGCTGCCCTCTCTTGTATTCCTCTCACTCTTTCAGTGCTTTGCTGCTTGCCAGCCTGATGATTGCCTTACGGTACAACAGGCAATCTATAGGAATAAAGATATGCATACGTGTGAGTGTGTGTGCTCCATGCATTTTTATGGCATTGCTTTTGGGAGTAGCAGCAAAAGGAACGCTAAGGGTAAAGGAGGGTATCAGCAGAAGTACATAGAAAGCTCTCACTCGAAAAAGCAGAAGTTTTCATTTCAAGTAGTTTTTCGTTCTGCTTGGGTTTTTTCGGGGGTTTTCACTGTCGTTACTGTTGTTGTTGTTGCTGCATCATCATTGGCCTGGCAAAAGAGTTTGAGCTCTTGAGTAGCATTAAAGCATCAAACGATTGTTTACTGGATGGAGAGTAGAGGAGAGGAGAGTGAGTGTGCAGTTCTCTTCGTTGCCAAGGTACGGTACTATTTCAAACTGAGAAGAGATCTCCTATTCTGGCTCCGGTTGTGAAATTTCGTTTTGCTGCTCAACTCCAATCAGCCATCAAACTGGGGTATTTATAGAGCCATAACCATGACCCATGCCGCATCCCATTCCCATTCTCTTCCTCTCGCTCTCGCTCTCGTTCTCGTTCTCGCTCTCGCTCTATCTATCCTATCAATCTGAGAAATTAAGTGCCAACGTTTCTGGCAAATGGCTCTAACCATCCATCCAACTGTTCGACTTTCCGCCTGTCCGCCGCTCAATTATCCCGGCCAATATATTCACTCACTTCCAGCCAGAATTCTCGAAACAGAAGGAATGAACAGCACAATGAAATGCAAGACAGGGAAAAGTTGGAGCTACAGTCGAGGCAATGTTTCCCATAATTCCAATAATATTTTTGCAACTGTACATATTTGTATACCCTTGCAAAGGGTAGCCCCCTTGTGCCATGGAGAGAAGAGAGTGTGTTTTAGCGTAAAGGATTTCCCCCCAGTTGCACGGCTTCATCGCTAGCACTATTCCAGTGAGACTTATGCTGAAAATAAATAAATAAAGGCTGTCCTTATACATATTTAATCTGCAATAAAGTGTATCTCGAGCTTCGGCTGACCTTTCGCTCTGGTTAACATTTATTCTAGCTATAATTTCATCAATTTAGCCTGAGATTTACATATTCTACCCCCATATTCGCCCCATATATGGGGCAACACAATTTCCCATTGCCTGGCAAAAGGTCATTGTATTTTCAATTGCAGCATAATCAGGCATGCCGCACAAAATGCAGTAAAATGTTTCAAATAACACTGTTTTTATAGCTCTGAGAGAGGGAGAGGAGAGAACATTTTGGCATTGAAATAATTTAAATTATTTTCACATTGCATTGAAAATTATGGCCAAACAATTAAGCAGACCGTTTCAGGCTTCTGTCCCCTGTGGCCTGCGGCCCAATTGCTGGTTTCTATTAACTCTTTGGCCCCAAGAGGCTTAAAAGGCAGACACACACAAACTGTCATATTAAATGGCATTTGGAAATTTTGGATATTTTGTTATTTGGATACGATATTTCCCTGACAAAAATACAATTAAAATGTAAAAATTATTAAGCTACTCTTGCAATTTTCCTAATTACGCGCATTAAAAAGCAAAACAAAATGAAAAAGTACACAATTATGGAGATGGAATGTAGGAGCTGGTAGTGGGCGGGGAGGGGTTCTGTTCTGGGGAAAGAAGTTGACTTTTGTTTTGAAAATTTGTTTGGCAGAACAGAGGGTACATTTTCTTCATTCCAATTTAAATTATGCTAAATCAAATAAAATGCTACTGCATTTTTTAATGCCTTAAGCAGGGCTTTGGTAGAACGTGACGTTTTACAGTGGGATGTAATAAATTAGTTTTATTTTCAATGCCTTTTAAGCCATTCTTGTAGTATGAATTTATATTGTTTATTTTTCAGAATGCAATACAGTAAACCCCTGTCCGCAATACTGCTGGGTAGTCTCCTGTTAATGGGCCTGGCCATGGCCCAGGAGGATCGCTCCTCGGATGCCCCCCATGTGCGGCACAAGCGTGGAATCTTCTGGGACTTTTTCCAAAAAATGGTCATTACCAAGAACCTGATAGTGGATGTGAGTACAAATAGATGCCAATGGGAACAGTCTATTGACTGGACATCTATGATGTCTCTTGTCTTTTGGGCTTAATCATATTTATTTTCGGATCTACAGCAATATACGGACACCAGGAACACCCTGAATGATATATACAACACCGTCAACGAGCAGTTCAGCGATCCGGGCCCGGCGAAGCCCACCAGTCGTCCACGCAGCACAACCGAGAAGGCGGTAAGTACTCTTAAGATCCTCTCTTAAAGTGATTCCATCTCAAAATTATACTGGATTCACCTCACAGTCCGTCAGTGGGGAGGACAGCGGAGGTGGGAGCAGCAGCAGCGATGAGCCCACGACCACAGAAGCATACAGGATATCCCGCTACGAGCTGGGCCGCATCCTGGGCCGCAACTTCCGGGGCTTGCAGCGCCTGGCGATGAGCGAGTTTGGAGAAGCCCTCAATGTGAGTCTCTCTCCGAGCCCACTTTTCCTAATCCTTAATCCTTAATCCTTAATGCCATCTACAGGCCACCAAGTACAATCTGAAGGAGTACAAGTCCGAGGCGGATCAGCAATTCGCCAACAGCCTGGCTGTCGAGAAGAAGAACAAACTGAAGAGTCTCAAGGGCTGACACTTGTAGGATACCACCCCTCACTCCCAACCAGTGCCTGATAGTAGTTGTCTCTGTGATAGGCTTCCTGCATTACTACATATACATATATGATATCTATTATTATTTTTTTTTTGTTTGTTTCTTGTTATTTATTTGCCAGTCTCCCTGTTTGGCTATGGAATAAAGTGGGGAATGCGGATGGGTGGGAAGTTTGAATGTCCCCAAATGCATGCGGAGTAGTGTCTACGACTATTTTTGCGTCAAATTAAAAAGTTTTCTGTCATAATTTTATTGATAAACTTTTAAGTAAAAAAGCATCGCACGAACACTGTAACACTGGGCAAAAATGGAAAACAAACCCCACCTACCCCCGAAGAAGAAGAAGAAGAAGAAGCACAGGAAACACTCAGAATCAAGGAAAATAAAGAGAGAGAAAGGAGCCACGAAAGTTGTGAGGAATAAAGTATGAAAATGGTTTGGGAAGGTTCCAGATGTTCCAGCATTCACCATCGCTTACATTTTTTGAGAATTTATTAGCTTGGCATACAAGATTAATACTTTAGAAAAATTCATTAACATCCTGAAATATCCATAAAATACTTCCAGACTTACACAGATCTTTACTGAAGATGTTGCAAAGTTGCTAGAAAATATATATATTAAATAAAGAAGCTATCATTATTAATTAAAGTTTGTATAAGAGCAGAAGAAATAACCAAAAAACCACTATATTTTGCAGTATTTTCCAGAAAAATACCATGAAAAAATACTAAATAATATTGAAAGAAATCTTTCTTTATTTTTGTACAGGGAAAACAAATTCCAAAGCTGTTGGTTATTTTAAATCAGTCCGAATTCCCAGCGAAAGCCTAAAACAGAAAAACTCAACATATCTACATATCCCTCTGTATCTCTCTCTCTCTCTTTCTCTCTCTCTGCCTCTCACTTCTGTATCTTCTTCTTTCCCTTTCGCACGTACATATGAATGCAAGTTGCTGTTGCCTGAAATCGAAGTAAAGTTGCAAACAAATCCAAAAGGCAAAACTTGCTAAAATACAAAGACAGTTTTGGGGCTGCTGTCTACTGTCTGCTCTCTCCGGGCCACTACTCCACGCCGTATGCCCGGCCCTGCCCTGCCCTCTTTCTCCCTCCCGGCCTTCCCGCTTGGGTCCCAGGAATAGTTAGCAGAAACCACTAAAAGTGTCATAATTCGATGCCCATGAGATGGCTGTCTCGAAAGTACGTTGGCCGACAAAACTTTGGCGGTAATGACTGTCGTTCGCCCTCAGTCGCCCCCAGTCCTAGGTCCTCCTCTGGACAACAACCACCAACAGTCGTGCGGTGCAACTGTGCGTATGAGCAACCTGACTGCCTGTCTGCAAAGTTCTCTGGAAAAACAACGGAAAAAATATCAGGCGAATATTTGGCCGGAAACTTATCGAAAGTGGAAAGTGGAAAGTGGAGTTCGAGTTCGAGTTCGAGTTGAAGTTGCATTTGGGGAGCCTGCAACATGGTGTTGCTGATCTAAAAGCCAGTTTACATATCTTTCAGATAAACAGATATTTACCTTCAACATTTACGAGTACTCATAGTCTTCTTTCAAAGAAACAGTTCTGCAAAGTCCTATTGTATCATATAAAGATCTATCTGCCAGACAATTTGCTACCAATTTTGCAGAACATTTCGATGTGATAATCTGATTTATTTGGTGTTTATAGAGTCACTTCGCTTCGCTTTGTTTCGCTCTGCCTCGAGCTTGTTTTGTTTCGTTTTCGCTGATTATGACAGTGAGTCAAACAAGTTGATTGCTTTAATTGTTTCTGGTTTTTGGGCTGACAGACGAGACCTGGGGACAATTATGGGTAATTTCAACAATAGAACAATTAGTTTAACAGCCAATAAAAAATAGAAACAGGTTCAACTCTGACAGAAAAACACTTTTGCGGAAGTTTTAAATGAAACGAGTAGCAAAAGTCCAGCCGGCCGAATGTCGCCTCATCACCGGCGATGAGTGATTGCCACCACAGCAATACTCGTATCACGTATCGCATATCTCGTATCTGACTTTTGTAAGACTTCAGACGATCGTAGTACCCCCAGGCAATACTCTGGCATTCAATTGGGAGCAAAACGGAAGCGAATTGTGTTATAATTGAGTTCAATTCCAGTCAATGGAATGAAGTTGGCAATTGGCATGCAGATATCGTCTTGCCATACATAATCGTAATATATGCCAGCCTCTCGAGGGGCTATACGTGCGTACATATATCGTGTGATTTAGGCTGATGACATTGAGACATCTTCAGGCTCGCAAATGAATGATAAATGAATCAGCTAAATGAAAATGGAAAGCAAGCCGATCAAACCGGCACTGAAATGGCAATGTAAAATGAATACACGAATACACAAATCACCAGTAGAGACAAACAAAAACCAATCAATAGGAAACGAGTGTTTAAACAACCTGGAAATATCAGCTACTACGAGATTAAGCCACAAGTTTCTAGAACCCTATTAAGTTTTGATTATGATATACCATTTTAAGGGAAATGTCCATCAAAGATCTATTTCCTAACAAGCAACAGATCCGATCCCAACCAAAACACTCACAAATTGCATATGACTCTTAGAAATTACAGGTTGGAGCAGAACGCATATTGGGGGCCGTCATGGTGGTTGATCCCTCGCATCGTTTCTCCCCGGTATATAATTTGTGCTGATTGTCGGTTGAGAGTTGTGAATATTTGTTTAGAGGTAGCGGAGATCTTGGGTGTGTGGTTGTCATTGTGGTGAATGATCTCATATTGGAGTTCGTTCTCAGAAATCGCTTACATCGCGAATTTCATTCGGCCAGCCTTTATTTTTGTGATCATTCGATCTGCTCTAATGATCTCCCTGACTGTATTCCCGATCCCCACTTCTCATTCGATAAGATCCGTTTTTTCCTTAAGGGAAGACTGTGCTCTAGAGACGTATCCCTCATCTCGAACTACTTCTAGATGGATCGATCAGTGCCAGTCTGAACTTTGGATTTGTTGTTCCCTACGCTATGATTAGCTGCTGGCTGATAAGCACTGATCCATGCCCCGATCCCGTCCCGATCCCGCTCGCATCGGATGACGCTTATCATCTGCGGTTGCAAAACAAGAGATCACGACCCGTCGCGCACAATCACTTCAATAAACATTCATTTATTTTCGTATAGATCACAAGTAAAAAAAAAAAAGGAAGAAACAACAAAGAAATGTAAGCTGCAGGACGCTGTTTCCTGTTTCCGCAGTTGGAGATGGATGTCGGGGATGTCTACAGAGCTGGCGGATGAGATGGGGCAATGGGTGCCAGGGGAACCTTCTCGGTGGGCGCATCGAAGGGCACCGCCGACGGGGGCTTCGGCGAGGAGGTGTCGTCGCTGAGACGGTGCTTCAGCTCGTCGTACTTTTGGGCCACGGAGCTGCCAAAGTCCTTGGCGCCCTCGCCGATCTTGTCAGTGTATGGCTTGGCCACCTCGGCCACATCCTCGGCTCCTTGCTTCACCTTGCAGCTGAGGCTCTTGAAGAAGTGCTTGAAGTCGCTTTCGTCCGGGCCCTTGGTCTCGTCGCAGTCGGCCCGCACCTGGACCACCGCCACATCGATCAGCAAGAGGGCGATCAGGGAGCACAACACAAACGATTTCATCTCGACGCTTTGAGTGGGGCAATGCGACTGAAGAGCTACAAATCGAAATCGAGGCGAAGCAGGCGCTGGCGACAGCGACGGCTCTAGGCAACCGGTTATGCTACCCCCCGCCTCCCCAGACCACCCCCAGCAATGAAGTGAACAATAATAAATCTCAATCAAGTTGTGAATGTGTGTGTGTGTGTGCGTGTGTGTGTGCGTGTGTGTGTGCGTGTGTGTCTGTGTGACTTTATTTTTGCTATGCGACTAGTCTGATCTTCTGGGCGGGGGTGGCGGCGGCGGCACAGGGTGGCCTCACCCGCTGCACCGGTGCCCGCCAGCTGAAGCAGCAGCCGCTATGATCCCGCGTCGAACAGCTGGAGCCCGACCAGACAAAGGCCTCCTCCAACCCAACCATGGCCGTGAGGATGGCGCCGAAGATCAGGAGTCCGCAGGCTTTCAGTAGTAACATTTCCAACCGACAGGCCGCTGGCAACTGATGCTGCCACAGGGCACAGCGCACTCCTCTACTGAGGATGAGCTTATTTACTCACCAAAAACCGGCTGAACATTGTTTATTTTTGGTCAAGAATGAACGACAAAGTTGTGGGCCAGAAGACGAGAAGAGAAAGTCAAGTACCAGAATGGCATGAAATGACAAAAGAAGAGCCAAAGCTGGAGGGGCTCTTTCATATACATATGAACGAGAGCGAGAGAGGGACAGATAGAGTGAAAGATAACTGTTGAGACATATTCCTGAATAACTCTGGAAGGGCCTTTTGAGAGCTCGAAACCTCACCGAATAAACCAGAAAACTATTCATTAAAATTCGAAATGTAATCATTTAATTAATCTACTTTTATAATTTATTAACCAATGCATATTGTATATAGTAGGTATAGAATAGGTACAGAAACTACTGCTTCATACCGTGGAGAACCTCGTTGTCGACCTCGTTGGCATCGTCTCCCAGCCACTCGATATTTGTGGGTGTGGGAGGAGCTGGTGTCGTGGTGGCTTCCTCGTTTTGCCCAGTGCTCGGGGAAGTGACTCCCTCAGTGGTGGATCTGATTGTGGAGCTGCCTTCCTTCTCGGTGTCCTGGTCTTTGTCCATCTGGGTGTTATCCTTGGGCGGCTTGGGCAGCGTGAGGACGTTGACAAAGAGCGTGATCCTTTGGAGGAGCGAGCGCGTCACATCCCTGGCCTTCTCCTCCAGCAGCTTGGCCTCCTTCTCGATGTTCTCGATCCAGGGCTTGGCCTTCTCCAAGGTGCACTGAACGCTGTGCACGAACTTTGTGACCTCGCTGGGGGGCTTTGGGGTCGTTCCCGAATCCGAATACGAATCCGAATCCTCCAGAGACTTGGCCTCCGACCCACAGAGAATAGCCGCTGCCTGCAGCTGGCCGAGGCACAGGCACAAACACAGGCAGCCGACAATGGCAGCGCTGAGGTTCATCTGGGGATTAGTCATCGTCACTGGCGGTATGTGGCAGCTGTGGTCGTAGCGTCGTGGCGATCGTGTGTCGCCGCTGAGACCCCAAACTCGACTGAAACCCGTTTGCAGCCAGGCAAAGCCACTTGACCAAGTTCTGGCCCCTGCCAGCGGCCATCGACCATCGACCATCGACCATCGAGTGTGTGGTGTGGGGTGTGGGGTATCTGGAAGATCTGCGAGAAAGTCGTCGAGCAACTGAAATGCATTTCCAACCAGAACTGAGGAGCGAAAGAAGGGAAATGGCAGGTTAAGTGCAAATGGAAATGGAGAGGGGAGAATGTCAGAATGTGAAAGAGATTAGGTATATGAAATGAATCACAGTTTCTGCTGAAGAATAGTGATTTTTAACACCTTTGGGGATAACCAGGTGAAGAGCAAAATCAGCAGGTAGATGCACGAATGAGGGATACCATCCCAGGATGTTGGGGTTTTTCCTTAACTCCCCGTGTATAGAAGGAGCCCGCTGCCTACCTACTCGGGCTCATATAGTATTGTATAGTCTTTGATAATACGTATTTGTCGTTATGCTGAACAAATTCTGAACCCACAGATAAATACATAAACAAATGGCGGAAATGCCCCTGGAAATTATCTCCCATTGAATGTTTCCGACGAATTTCCACTTTCTCTTTTTATTTATACAAAAAAAAAAAAAAATAAAAAATAATAATAATAAAAACACACACAGACAAAGGAAATCATAAAATTAAAAAAAAGTCGCTCACAATGCTTAAAAAATATGTACAAAGGGTTCCGTCCCGTCCATGGGTACCCAGATGGGTCTACTTCCTCAATTTGCTGCAGTTGCCCAAGGCGTCGAGGATGTGGCCGTGGCCGCATTGCTGTTCGCCTTTGAGGATGTCCGGGTTTATGACCTCGACGTTGGCGAGGAAGCCGCGGTCTTTGCTCATCTCCTCGACGGAGTCCTTGGAGAGCTTCTCGCGGAAGCCGTCGAAGCGGTCCTTGATGTCGCTGCCCAGGACCTTGGCTTTCTCGCCCAGCTTTTGGGCGCCCTCCTTCAGCTCGGTGCCCAGATCCTTGGCCTTCGCGCCCAGCTTCTTGGCCCCCTCCTTGATGTGGCAACCGAAGTTCTTGAAGAAGTCCCGAACCTCGTGCTCGCTACTGCCACTCCCGCCCGAAATCTCCGAGATCTTCTCATTCAGATCGCTCAAGCCGGGCACCTTGTCCTCGCAATCGAAGAGCCCCGCCCGGGTCGGAGTCGGGGCGGTAGCTCCCAGAAGGAGCAACACCAGCAGCAGGGATCCTTGCAGGTGATTCATTTTATAATTTGATTTGATTTGATTTGGATTTGGGTTTTTTATTTTGATTGCAGATTCCTTTGGCGTTGGGGCACCAGACTGAACCTCAGCGTTGACTCGACTCGTTCGCACTGACCTGGGGCTCCTCGATCGCCAGGCAATTTATTCAGTCGCCTCCGACTCCGACGAGCGGTTGCCTTTTGTTCGACATCGCGCGTCACTTGCTCGCATTTTCTCGATTCCATGCCCCGATCCATTCCCCGCCAGTAATTCAATTTGCGACAGAGGCAACAATCATAATGCCAGATCGTGCCCAATTGTGACTTGATTTAAGCATCAACAAAGGGGGAAAAGCACAAAGAACGAGCAAAGATACTTGTACGAGAGACCCTTGAAGCAAGAACCCCGAAAATGCGCAGATACTTTCGACTTTTCCAGCGACTGGGCACACTGCTGTCAAGGGTCAAGGCTGTCCTAACAAAAAGATAGCCCCCCAACCCCAACCCCAACCCCAACGCCGAGCCCAGCTCCCTCGGGATCATCCATCGCTAGCGCATGTTCAAGGCGTGTTTTCGACTATTCGTACGAGTAGCCGGAAGCACTGACTAATATGAGTATACGAGTACGAGTACGAGTACTATATATAGTCCACAGACTGTAAGTACGAGATGCGTTCAATTGGTATAGTCTCTCATCTTGGCGGGAAATGAATTGACCCACAATGGCGGGGCACAGCGTCGATTATATAACAATTGGCCACAGCAAAAGGGGGAATCCATTGAAGAACGGCTAGAGTATGCTTAGAATTTGATAGGCTGAATGCGAATTTGCATATGATACGACAGAAGCGCGCGATTTAGATACAGATGTTCAGATATGTGCGATGGGAGGTCAAGAGGGAACAACTGATTCATCAGGCATATAAGAAAGAAGAGATATACATATGTATGATGTATTCTATTCCTCACAACATCAAAACAAACAGCTACTGATGAATCAGTATTTGATAATGAGTAATGCATGCATTTTATAAGATATCCAGAGGTTTCAGAGCCAGTTTTTTGATTAAGAATGGAATACAATCAAAATGAAGATATATATACATAAATTATAGGACCAATAGATAGATATCGAGTCGATGGGATAAATTAACGGTTCATTTACCCATAGAAATCTCTTGCGTTGATGAAGGTAATCGATGTTTATCGATATATGACAAAAAGGAACGTTTGATACCGATACCGAAGTGCGACAAGAGTGAACGATTTATGTAGAAAATCTACCGAGCGATCGCCCCTCGCTTAGGACAGACACTGACTTCCGTCATTGCTATTTTATTGAGCTCGTTCTCTCTGGGATTTCGCGCTTAATTATAAAATTTCGCTGGGCCTTAAAAGGCGCACGTCAAGGAAGATACTCGGATGTGGCGGGCGAATGACTTCCGTGCGGATTAGCGTGAATTCCAAACGCTGTCGTCGTCGAAAGGCCCAATATTTCCATTGTCTGGATCAGTGTCGAAGTCGTCCTCCTCATCCGGTTCGTCTGTGGCGCCTTCGTCCGCATCCGCATCGGGGCCCGTGTCGTCATCGCCCTTTTCGTCTCCATCTATATAGTCGTCATCCTCTTCGGGAAGATGGTAGTCAGCCTCTGTGGTCGTCTGCTCCTCCACCACTTCCTCCACCACTTCCTCCACCTCCTCGGGATCCGTCAGCTCGGGCAGTAGTGGCAAATCCGTGGTGGTTGTGGTGGTGGCTGGTGTGGTGCTTCTCGTTGTGGTGGTGGCTGGTGTGGTGTTGCTCGTTGTGGTGGTGGCTGGTGTGGTGCTTCTCTTTGTGGTGGTGGCACGTGTGGTGCTTCGTGGCGGTGGCTGTGTGCCAGCCGCTGCTGTCTTGCCTGGAAAAGGGTAACCGCCTTAGCCGAGAGTTCATTGCCCCGCTCCGCACTCCACTTACAATCATCTGCTGTGGGGTCAAAGTCGCAGCGGATCCGCCGATCCATGGAGTCACCGCTGATCGGTGTCGTGGAGGGCGCTTGGGGTGCTGGAATCGCGCCGAGGTCCTGGCCTGTTGAGGGGGCAACAAAATGTTTGGTACTTTGCCGATCCCAGCACTTCTGATTCTGATTCCCTAGAACACTCACATTCACTGCGATGGGGCTCGAAGTCGCAACGCATGCGCTTATCCATCTCCTCTTCGCCGATTGGGTGTGTCACCACCTTCTTGGGCCGCCGCACGAAGTACACGTTCCTCACCTCGACAATGTCCAGATCGGGGTCGTAGCGTGCCACCCGTCGGCGCACGTATCGCCTGTGGGGCCTGTCCGGCAGTGGGACGGAGCGGGCCTGAAGCAGCTCCAGGCTGCCGCAGCAAATTATCACCAAGAGGATGATGGCTAGGGATCTATTCATGGCGTTGTCTTCCACTCAACTACTCAATTGCCCAAGTCGGAGGAGCTGTTCGAGCTGCGAAGAATCTGTGGCGGAAGCTTATCAATCGCGATAACCCTTCGCTCCGACCTTGGCTTCTTCCGAGAGCAGCCGAGCAACTGTCAGTGAGAGGCAGCGGAAGGCAGCGGGAGGCACCGAGAGGCGAGTGTGTGGCAAGTTTGTGGCATACTCCCGGGCTGTTGCCGTTAATTGCCGCTCACGCCTCATGACGATGCATCAATGTCGGCGGCTACATAAATTAGATTTCCTCGTGCCAGCCAACAAATTGGCCGCAAACATAATTGCCACGCCCCCTTTTCCCCCATCCGCATTGCAATGCCAAACACGTCATGCCACAGAGGTTGGAGCGGCACAGCACCCTACTGCATTTCGGACGAGTCCTTGGGCTCGCGACCAGGCGAATTTAATTGAATTTGAATTTGCATTTGAGTGCATTTTCAGGCAGAGTTACATTCGATAGAAAATCGAGGCCTAAAATCTATTTTGAATGGCCAATCGGCCAATCAGCTATCGAGTGCATAATCCACGGATGACTATGGATACCGGACGGTCCCAAAAATAGTACACCATTGGATGAACGGCGAGTGCCAGCATTCCCGCGCAACACCCCTTGGGTAATCGATAGCCATTCGATAGCTCAAGTGCCCGCCCAGCTGACTCATCCACAAGTGTCAAGACCTCAGGTCCCCCACCCCCATTCTGCTTGCCGCCCATCGATAAGCCCAAACGGGCCAATTTGTTTCTGATGAAAAATATGCGAAATGTCGTTTTCCCCATACATAAGTACATATGTTCGTTGCTGGCTTTTCTTTTTCTTTTTCCGTTTTCGTTGTCGTTTTTCCTTTGCATTTTGCTTTTGGTTTTCGGGTTTTCTTGTTATTTCTGCTTCTGTTTGTTTGTCATTTTTCAATGGCAGAATGTCGGCAATGGGAAGAGAGCGTCGAGCAAATTAGCCGACCGACCGACCGACCGACCGACCGACGGATGCCACATATGTATGTATGTTCAGGCATTTCCCAATAACATAACAGAAAATATCTGTGTGTGTTTTCCTCGGTTTGGGGGCTGTGTGTGTGTGTGTGGACAGGGAGATGGACATGAGCAGGGGGGATAGCGAGGGATGTGCTTCAGAATAGATAAACAAAAAGGAAAATATTTCAACGGCCCCGCATGAACGGAGAAATCACACAGCAATTTCTGTACAAAAATTCACTTCGTTTGTGAGAGCGTGAAATATGCAAAAATCAAGAAGGAATACAAATAACACTATGATACGAAACCACAAGATACCCATTGCACAGGCAATCTCTTTCTCGAGAGAAGATTTACAGAGAGAAGATGGCAGTCCTGTCGGCGTGGTGTCTGCTTGGGTGTCGCAACCATGAAATACGATTACCCATAAACCTTACAATTTTCTTCGTTTGGCTGTAAGAATTATCCAATTTCGATGGGGTTTACGGGGATTAGAAGATAATATCTACTCTCAAAGAAAACAAAAACAGAAAATGATTTGAATATGCCAAAAAGTAATTGGAAAACACTTTATCTATTGGTGTACATATTTGAATCTAGGTGTAAGTTTTATTTCTCTGAGTGTCAATGTATCTATAATCCAGACAAACTTGATATATTTTTGTATCTTTAAGGTTCCTTAATTCTCTAAGAACTATCTTGAGTACATCTTCTTGGACGATTACCCCCCCACGCATATACTCCTTTGAGTACCGTGTATATTGAATATGATCATCCAGGGGTGGGGTTGGGGGGTTGGGGAGCTATGGGTTGTGGGGAGGAGGAGGAGGAGGAGGAGGGAAAACTGTTTGGTTTCTTCGGGCTAGAGATGCGGCCAAGCCGAACAGTTGGCAACGAATCGTGTTAGCGGGCGGACAAAAGCGGAGCTGGCAGCGATCGCAGCTGATCGCAGGGCACACAGAAAAGAGCGAGACGGACGTCACATACCCGCATAAGAAAGAGAGAGAGTGCGAGAGCGAGAGAGAGAGAGTCAACAGAATTCTCTGTTTTGGTCCGCGTTGTGCGGCAGCGAAAAGTGGCACAGTGGCACGCACTTAAATGTCACTTGGTGGAGGCCTGTGGGGCGTAAGGCAGGGGCAGTGGCAGGGGCAGGGGCAGGGGCAGGGGCGTCAACTGGGAACTGGGAATGGGAGCTGCGATCATCTAGATCAGGGAGCGATTCCACCTAAAAATAGATGGAGGGAGGAATATGAAAGAGAACGAAGCCAAGTGAGTGAATGCAAGGAAAAAGCCAAAAATAATTGAAAGCGTGGGCAGGAGGACAGTGAAATCCACATAAAAAGAACACACACACAAAACAAGCGAGAAAAGTACAGCCCAATATAAAAGGAAAACAAAATTCGAATTTGAAATTCTTCAAAAAACAAAAGCCAAAACTTAAAAACTCCAAAAAAGAAAAACAAAATCAAGTGCCAAAATAGTGCCCCCCCCCCCAAAAAAAAGACTGATCCACCCATCGAGTGTCCACTGTGAACACATAATTGGGATAAACAATAAATTGGCCAGAGGCCAACCAAAAGAAGCAACGAAGCAACGAAGCAGCGAAGCAACGAAGAAGCGAAGATCAGAGCCAGCGGAAGATCAAACAGGCAACAGACAGCCAACAGGTGGAAGGAAGACCCCTAGACGTATCCGCATCCCCCTCTCGAGAGAGTTCCAGTCCATGCCTTGGGATGTCCCAGTCCCAGTCCCAGTCCCCAGATGAGGAGCAGGAACAGGCAGAGGAGGCCGATGCCGATCCGCTGGCCAATCTGCTCAGCCTCCAGTTACGCAAGCCCCCGCACTGGAACTGGGAGCTGAGCACCTCCCGCAGTTGCAGCAACATCGCCCTGCCACGCATCCTGCTGTACGACCACACGGGCGCCCTTCTAGTCGACGCCCACAGCGGCAGCGAGCAGACCTATCGATCCACCGATCTGCCACAGGGACAGCGAGAGCTGCAGAGGATCCGCCGCAAGAGATCGGCCACCTCGAATCTGAGCGGCTGCCTGGCACGCGACTTCAATGGCCTGCATATCGCCGAGGCCACGCCCAGTCCGAGCAGGAGCAGGAGCCGGGAGCATTCTCACACGGCCAGAGGCAGTTGCATTGAGATCAACACCCACGAGCTGCCCAACTGGGAGCCCGGCAGTGGCAGTGGCTGGGGCAGCGGCAGCTCCCGTCGCTCCAGCTCGCTGCGGGGCGTCCGATTCCTGGAGTCCCCCAAGCCGCTCGTCGAGGAGGAGGAGGAGGAGGAGGAGGAGGAGGTGGAGGTGGAGCTACCCGTGTATCCAACGCCGCCGTCCACATCCACGACCACCATGACCACCACCACGGCGAACTCGTCGTCGTCAGGGCCGCGAGAGAAGCGGCGCTACCGGCGCTCCCACAGCTCCATTCTGGAGCGGTTCAGCCTCTCGCGTGGGCGCCACTCATCGCCGGAGTACGCCCAGGAGCAGGACGTGGAGAGGGCGCCGCGCTACTATCTGCGGACCAGCAAGGCGGGTACCCTGGTCATCCGGGAGGAGAGCTTCAGCCGGATGCGACAGCGCCGCCGCAGGCCGCCAAAACACTCGTCCAGCGAGAACATCCTCCAGGAGCGTTCGGAGAGTGCCCAGAGTGCCGTGCAGGTCACGACACGGAGGCGCCATCAGGAGGCGGCGGCAGCGGCTGCCGTCTCCACCTCTGAGGAGGAGGAGCAGCGGGAGGAGAAGCTCCGTCACAGCCACGGGCGACAGTCGCGCGGCAGACGACCGCAGCGCAGCTGCATCAAGGATGTGGCCCAGGGTAAGTCGAAGAAAAGGATTCACCCCTGATCCGATACAGCTAATCCGGAACGGAACCTTCCTCTAATCAAACAGAACTCATTACGGTCGATCCCGATAATTGTGTCTATCGTGCGGCGCCGGGCGCCACAGCACGCTAGAAAAAGGAAAGCACGGAAGAAGGTCGTCCACAAAAAAGAGATGGAAAATGTGAGAAGAAAGAGAGAGTATGGAAAAAAGTAGAAAAAAAAAACTAGAGTTCCTCCTTGTGATGTAAGTCGATAAAGATGTACACTAGATGAATAAAAAATGCAATATATATAAAACAACATCAATAAGTTAATCAACACTGGTTCTAGAAAAGAATAGAATTCCATTCCATTCCATGAAATTTGTAAGCATAAAGCAGCACTTGAAATTTCCTAGAATTTCCTATACAAAGGTTCTTTATAACGAGGAAACCATAACGAGTATTCCACAACTAGTATCTCATAGCGAGTATCTCACAAAGATACCCGAGATCAATTATCTTGCAACGAGTGTCCCACAACGAGTATAATCTATAGGTCCATATGCTTGTCATTCAAAGTGCAGGCATGTATTTTGATCGCAGTTGTGGGAGGTAGAGTATTCAAAAGGTATCATCAACAATTCTTTTACCATCGCCGCCCAATGGCATGCCACAAATGAGTTGGATGATGATATTCTGTAGCAACGTGATAGCCAGAGAGTGGGCAGTAGACCCTAATCAGAGCTGATAAGCTCTGGATCGCCGGGGCATGGCGCACGGCACACGGCACATGGCGCTCGGTCGCGAGTTGGGCGCTCAGTCCAATAGAGGCATTTGGAACGAGATGCGACTTCTACTGCTGCCGGCCGGGGTGCTCGTGCTCCTGCTGTTCCTGCTCCGACTGCCCCTGCCCGGGGACGGAGCGGGTCGGGTGATATACTTTAACCAGCTGAAAGAGAACCAGACCCTCCAGGCGGGCAAGAATGCGACGGACAGGCTCGGCAAGGGCATGCTCTTCGATGTGGGACGGGGCAACTGCCATCGAGGGTACATGCACGATCATCATGGCCGCTGTCGGAGGGTGAGTGTCTTCCTTGAGGGTACTGGACAGTAGATAGGTTGAATCGAATCGAATCTTTCGCTTGCAGATTGTCTAGGCCCATGCCCAAATCAGTGATGTCTACGCCTTATTTTTATTGTTTTTGTTTTGTGTAGAGATTAAAGTGAAAAGAAATGAAAACCCAATACAAGCCGCTTTCATAAACAAAGATACAGATAAGACCCCAATAAACAGGGAGCCGCCCAAAAGTATGCCGGAACTTGTGTGGAGACTGTAATGAACATTAAAATTACCCTAGGTTGAGCGACCCATAGAGGGGATCCACTCCACTTACTCCACTCCACGGACCTTGACCCCAGAAGCGGAGGCGCCGCCAGCTGCGTCACATCACGTGCAATTATGATGAAATTATGGCAGATACGGGACGTGAAAAAGTGCCCCAGATAGGAAGATACATTACGACCCACAAGATACAACTCGACAACAGATAATGGAATACCGTCCCGTCGTCTGACTCATCTGGCTATTAATGGGGCCCTACCATACCCCACCGAAACGGCAACGATGGGTTTTGCAGTCATATTTTCGGGAAATTTCAGGTACCTCCGATAAAGACGGCAAAAGGCCGTTTGCCGTATGCCGTAATATATTGAACCGTGACGTTGAGGCCGTCATCGTCTTCCACCTGGGAGACAGCAGCGTGAGTGGGGAAGACCATCAGCCATCAGGCCATGCGACGAGCAACGTCTGCCCCCTAATCGCTGTCGATTGTGTGTGGAGTCGCGTGGTCGCGCCCCACCGAATTATACAGAATTTCGCATGGCTCACGAGCGTTACCTGGCTAAAATGCCAAACGAAATTGGCCCCGCGAATCGCACCAATTGCCAGTATCTAGTAGCTTCAGTATCTAGTAGCTTCAGTATCTCCTCCTTCGGATCTTTAAGACAAAAATAGCGAACCAATTAACCCATTCACTTACTCAGTTTTAAAAATAACAATCTATGACGTTCAAATCTTCGGGGTTTTATTCTATGAAACTTTGATTTGTGATGAATTTTTTTTTTTTTACATTTTTTCTTCATGAATTATGAATTAATCTTATTAATTTTTAATATTATATTTTATTTTTTACAAATCTTGAGTTACTTTTTCTTTCTCTAAATCTTCTTTATTTTATTAATGCATTTTAATGTTGGATTTTTTTTTGTATTATTCATTTGATGGCTTCGAGAATTCCCAGAAAGCAAGAAAAAATCCCCGCAGATATTAACCCATAAAAATCCTCTGCTTTGAGTGGGTTAAGGCGACCTAGTCGCGTCTCGGGCCACGTCCTATGCAAATGCATTAGGCGGGGGGGCTGACTAGTTGACGGGCTGACAGGCTAACGATAGTGTGATATTATCACCTCCCGCGCACGGTCTAATATAGCAGTCGGCAACTGGTCTTAGACTTATCTGTATCTGTATCTGTATCTTCGGAGGGAATTGGTGTGGGTGTGGGTGTGGGTGTGGGTCTGGTGAAACACTCAATTACACAGATTGCAAATGACAGGGAGGACGGAGCACTGTTCGGCCAGATAAGATTCGCCCAAAAGCGCTTACAGGGTGTCCGGGCGAGTGAGGCTCCCACAAGGTATGGCAGTGGTGGGTGGCTGGGGTTTGGGGTCTGAAGGAGCACCCTGTTGGGGTTTTATCAATTCAATGAAAACGAAAAAGACAAGCGAACCGCACTTAAGAAGTGCTACCTCCGAATCATATATAATCAGTTAACTGCCGGCATTAGAGCACGCCAGTTAGAGGATTGCTACGGTTGGCTCAAATCAATTCACTTTTGTCTCGTTTTCCTTCTCGTTCTCGTCATTCGGATTCGCATTCGGATTCGCTATCTCTCGGAGATTCCCCCAGAACGAGGTCGATATGTCGCTGCAACGCTGCAACGTCCATCAGCTGCTCCTGTATTCGGTCTGTCTGCTCGCGGTGATCGTGTTTTGTGCCCCGGCGGGTAGCGAGTCGCGTCGCGTGATCTTCTTGGCCCCCAATGGCATCCATCGCGGACAGATCTTGGCCACGCATGGCATGGAGAAGCCCTGCCCGCAGTGTCACATGCACGATCATCGCGGCAATTGTCGTCGCATCATTTCGTACAATGCAGGTGAATATTACGTATACGAAGCCGTCGAGTGCGTCATTGCCTCGCTATTGCCGGTCATGGAATCGACGCGAAGATGTCAACCCGTCAACCTGTCGAGCGCCAACCGCTTTCAGATTACTACTCGAAAAAGTGCTTTCGTATCTATTATTTCTGTCTCTGTCTTGCAGATGGCGTGCGCTGCTGAGAAGGGGAAAGAGCCAGTGAAAGCGCCCAAAATGAAACAAAACCCAACCAAAACCAAAATCAAAATCAAAACCAAACCAATCCATCGAAACGAATCTCCAACTCTCTCAAAACAACAGCATTATTCGTGCTCTATTTATTTATGTTATTTATCTGCCTCGCACTCGCTCTAGAATTCGCCCTATTTTACAACCAAAATACACATACTTACTACAACATATATAATAATAAATACAAATATCTATACTTGAATAAAACCCAGAGTGTGTGTCTTATTTTTTTTTTTTTGTGGTTTTAATTTAATTTTTGTGAATTGTGGATTGGAATTCGGCTGCGGCTGCGGCTGCCACTCGTCGTCTCGTCGTGGCACTGCAATTGCTGCCAGTTAATTACAGATAAATTCACACAAAGCATCGATGCATCGCAAACGCAATTCTGGAAATATCAAACCCGCCCCCTCCCATTGTTGTGCATTCCATGGACGATTGTGGACACAAGTGTGATGCATAAATTTGCATATCATTCACCATTCTCTTGGATGACATCGGAATTCGATGGCAGTTTCATGAACTCTCTCATCGCTTTAGAGTCCCGTCCCTCTATCTTATCAATTAAAAACCCATTACGCATGGGCTTTCCAGGCCTCGGCTTTCGACACTGGCATGTTCTGGGGCTGGTCTAAAGGTGTCAATGATATCAGCTTCTTAAGTGGAATCGGAAATATTTGATTTTCCAATTATAATGCCGACTTGACTTAAACGCCTTCCGCATATGTATAATGGCTGCATGCCGTTTTATCTGAGAGTTCCTTCTCCTCCTCGAGTCCAGTGTCCCCAAATGGCCGATGGGGAGATTCGAAACGATGAGAAGGATGAGATGAAGGGTGAGACCATCGAAAGAGCATTCATGCATTCGAAATTTGTAGGACTTACTCCAAGCAAATTCAGAATCTATTTTACGAAGTCAAAGAAAATCGTCTCCGCCTTTTCTTAAATTACTTCTTGTGATTCCGAAAAATATTGAAATATATATTAAAACTGAATTTAGTCAAAATGGAGTAAATTTGGCAGAAATTTGTTCCCAATTTAAAAAAAAACAATCTCAGAACTTAGACCAAAATTGACTCCGAAATGTTCGAAAATCTACTCGGAACTTAAAACGTTGCCTTAGACCAAATTTTCTCCGAAGTCCAGCAAATTTTACTCAGAATCTAAAAAAAAAGAACTCTAAACTTAATTCAAATTTACTCCGAAATTTATCAAAATCTACTCCGAATTTTAGTCAAATTAACTCCGCTTTTGGACCACATTTACACAGAATGTGAAACAAATAAACTTTTCTTTGTAATAATAATGGTCCGTTTCGGAGTAAATGGGGGATCTACTCGACAAACATATCTCAGGCATTTGTCTAGGATCGTAAACCGAATTTACGCGGAAGGTTGTCGAAATCGAATCCGAATCTACCAGAAGTTACGATCTAATCAGTGTGTGAGTGTGGTGTAACTGCCGGCGGACTAGCGACAGGCCCGGCCCGCTCTATCGATCACTTGAACGTGCCAAAAAAAAGTCAGGCCAAAACCCTACCCTCCGACAAGCCGACGACTAGATCCGCATGAAACTTTGGACCCCGACGCATTATTGGACATGCTACGTCAGAGGTAGGGGCGGGGCTGGGGATGGGGCTGGGGCTGGGACTGCGGCTGCGGCTGAACATGTAATCGAATGGGGTGGGGGGGTGGACTGACTGCTAGTGACTGTTTCATCAGCGTGCAGGTGATTCGGCTTCGAATCGGATTCATCAAACGACCTTATCGGCATGTCAAACACTCGGAGACAATTAGTGAATGAAAACCTCTCATTTCACAAGCGTGCAAAATGCTATCCAGAGGTACATACTATACATGCTCGTACATCAGAGCGTCGTGTTGTAGAGGACCGAGACAACTGGTCGACATTCTACATTCTACATTCATTCAACAACTGAATGGCATGGCATAACTTCAGGCTGAGGAATGGGGTTGGCATCGGGGAATCGTTTTCATTTTCTTCAGACCGGATGGCAGGCGTCACTGATAAGAGGGGCGGAGACACCGCAGTGATCCACCGCATGACGAAGTCCTAACAGCCCCAGCCAACTTCTGCCGAACAGCGACACATGGCAGCGGAATGTGCGTCGAGCGACTTCGTCATCGTGCGAGAGATGGGTAAGGGACGAAAATAGCCACCAGGGGCACCACTTGGAAGTCTACAGAGACAGAGACGGAGCGACCGAGAGACCGAGAGCCCAGTCCAAAGACCCGAAGCCCAGACCGTACACAATGTTTTTATATAGCAATGGGCCGACATACTCGTACAATAGATATTTGTATATTCCAATGGGGAATAAACGGCCTGGAGCCGCACTGCCAGCAGGGGCTATCTTATCGGTGGGTTGTGGAATGCCTTTAGAGGTGCTTATCTTATCGATTTGTGTGCGGCGGTCGCCGTCTTGGGCTATCGACACTGAATATCGACAGGCGCAACATCGGGAAACGCGCCCAGTCATAAAAGCGGTGCGCTAGCGTAACAATCTCCAAGCCAGCAACCGCGCGTGCCTTCAAAAAATCCCACAAAAAAAAAACACAGAAGTACGACCAAACTTCGAATAAAGCCTATTGGAAAGTTCAATCAAATCTCGCCGAGAAATGAAGCTGCAACGTCTCTTGCTCACAGCTGTGCTGATCCTCTGCCTCATCCTGGCGCAGAACGACCGGACCACGGAGGCCCGCCGCCTGATCTTCTTCAATCCGCACAGCCGCACCCTCCACAGCCAGCTGCTCGTCTCGCGGAAACTTCCGCGGCCTTGTCCCGCCGGCAAGATGCGGGACCACCGGGACCGCTGTCGCCGAGCACTGATCTTTGGCCGCAGCACCTGAGAGGGAGGACCCCAACGCCAACCACAAAATCTCCTTGTCTATTGTTATTAATTTAAACTTTTTTTTGAGTTATTTGTAAGCTAATTTATTGCCCCCGCTCTTAGAAGTAGTTGCATAGGTTTATTCCGGTATTTATTACGTTATTTATTCGTAGCTGGTTACGAAATAGTCGCTAAATATACACACGTACGTACATTCAACGCACAATAAACTAAAATCGAGGTAAAGATACGACACGATACGAGTACATTGTGTGGAAATTTTAGAGCCTCCATTAAATGGAATCATCATTATCAATCGCTAAAAGATAGCTTAATTTGTACTGCATGTTAAATGAAATTAAAAACTAAACCACAACTAAGGAATCATCTTTGAATCAAAAGCATGAAAGCTCAATAAGAGGACTTTCCTTGACTGTAGTTCGCTTTTGTATACATATACATACATAAGTATAGGGAAAGTGATAATGTCTTAGAGTTTTAGAAGAATTTAGAGGAATGAAATCCAAATCTTATTTTGTGGTAATTTAATATTAATTTCATTTTGGTGTACATTCTACACAACTCATGGAGCTTGCCACCGATCAAGATCTCATGGCGAACTCAGAGGCATCCCTCTCTCCCTCGGCTTGTTGGGTAAGTCCCGCACGTCTGTGTGGTGTGTGTGCTGTCCCAGTGCCCAGTCCCATAGTGTACATTGTGTGAGCCATCAATATACTTTTGCGTGTCATGAGCAAAGAAATTTAATCTACGGTTAGATTGCGATCCGATCCGGCCCGGCCCGATATGGGGAGGCCGACACACAACATGTTTGACAAATTGCCCCGGGCGGAAAGCAGTGACGTGAGCGATGACACCATGACGTCGCACGGAATTTAGCAGATAGACAACAACACAGAAAAAAACAGAAGAAAATATACGAGTATAGCCTGAGGGAAGCCCCAGGAAGAACTAAATGCGATTCGCTCGAATGGTCTGCTCGATCCAGTCCATGTGGCTGCTGATCCTCGTGTAGACGCCGGAGAACTCCGTCTGGCCGCACTCCTCGCGCCCGAACGAGACGACTCCCGCGAGATAGACGAAGCGATCCCGCTGCGGTGTGCTGGCCTCGACGGTGAGCGGTCCGCCGGAGTCGCCGTTGCAGGAGTCAACGCCAATGCCGCCGCTGGCACACAGCTGGCTCTCGTTCAGCACTTGGCCGTCCTTGCTGAAGGCCGCCTGGCACTGGTCGAGGGGCTGCACAATGAGCATGGCCTTCCGTTTGAAGTTGCTCGACTCGCTGTTTTCCGTGCGTCCCCAGCCGGAGACGTCGACGGCGGAGCCCACCAACTGGTTGGCCAGTGGCCCGCGTCCCGGCGGCAAGCAGACGGGCTCCAAGTGCTGCATCTGCAACCAATTGACGGGCCTGGCCAGGCGCAGCAGGGCGATGTCGTTGGTCAGATTCTTGACGGAGAACTGCTCGTGCGGCAGGATGCGATCGATGCTCACCCGGATATGGGGGGGCGCGCACTCCCGCCTACCGTTCAAGATCGTTATGCAGTCAGGATCGGTGGCCTTGTTCCATTCGCCCAGCCGGGCGCCCGTCAGCCGCCGGCCGGGGCCCATGAAGAACACGTGAGTGCAGTGGGCGGCCGTCACCAGCCAGCGCTGGGCAATGAATGCAGCCCCGCATACATAGCTCTTATTGCCGCCCTCCTCGGAGTACTCCAGCAGTGTCGTCCAGGGGAACTCGAGGATGCCCGCAACGGAGCCGCCAAACACTCGGGAAGCGAAGGCCGTGCCGCAGTATGGATACTGGGGCAACTGATCCGGGCTGGTGGGTGGTCGCGGCGGCAATGTATTCGGTGGGGGGGCTGCCTGCAGTCTCAGCAAGGGTCGCTCCGTGGTTGTGGTGCTTCCGATGTTGTTGTTGCTATTGTTCCTGTTGTTGATGCGTATCCCCAGAGCGGGTATGATGTTGCTCTCTCGCGGACAGCATACCTGAATGTAGGAGGACGTCATACATATGTATATCTATACCATCGTGGTATCCATATATAACCATGTAACTTACCAAATCGGGTCTCTGCCGGGAGTAGCATTGTCGCTTGCTGGAGGCATCCAACTTGTCCACATCGTAGAAGTCACAGTTGCCGGGATCGACGCATGTGCCACGGCCATAGTCCGCCGTGTGGCAGTTCCCAAAGTGAGTCATTGTCCCTGGACAATGGAGGTGCAAGCAAAGTTTAGTAGAGTAGGATCATCCGTACAGGCCCACCCAATCACTTACTTTCCCAACGCTGGGCGAAAGCCTGCAGTGCCAGCAGCAGGAGCACCAGCAGCATCCCAGTTCCGTGGAGACGCAGCATTTTCGATTTTCGTTGAGACTTTACTGTTCTACTGTTTGTTCTGGCGATGTTGTTCTGTTGCTGTTTATACTAGCTGCCGCCTCGGATGCTGATGATCGACTAGTGGCTATCATATCGCGATGCGATTTGCTCGGCTGAGCGGTGCGACGGCCTCGTGCTGTGACCCCCAGCCCCCAACCCGCTGGCCGGTGGCCGGTGGCCGCCTGAAGCTTGGCATTTCCACAGATCGCCCCTTGCCGCATTGATCAGCCGATTAGCACGATCGATACTCATTGATTTCAGCTGTGTGCCAGGGAAAACCCGTTCCAGATTGGCTTCCCACGGCGACTTCCAGTTCCAGCACCAGGTCTCGCTTCCAGCTGCCTGCTGCCTTCCATTGCTCGTACAATAATTATTCAGCTACGTATTCATTCTACATTCAATACACACATAAGTACTCGCACATAAATACGTATACGTATATATATATATATTCCCGTACATGCTTATACGAGTATGTATGTTTGTATGAACAGCAGATTGCTGTTAATTTCGTTGCAGTTTTCTGTTATCAGGCCATAAAGTGTGCGAATAACATTCGTCGACTGGAAAGTAGCTCGAGTGAGTGAAATTCTAGTCTTGTCTCTAGTCTACTCTACTACTCAACTCTAGTCACTTATGACTGTTTTCATAGATATGCATATGCATTGATAATTATTCCCAGACATTTTGCCGTTGGCCCAACGCCACAGCCAGTTATACGGCTATACGGTTCTCCAGTTCTGGCATTTCCAAAACCACCCATTTGAAAAACCCCGACGAAGCAGATGCAAAACTCAGCCCCACATCGCCCAACGCTTATCGATGTCATAATGATTATAACGCAAGTAATTATGCATGTATTTGTCGGGAATTTGTAGAATAAAGACAAGCAGTAGTCTTTAAGGGAAAGAAAGAGAGAGATACTACAGTTATAAAGTACTCGGTGACGAAGAAAACTGCTCAAGATGAATTCAGTAATAAGGTGACGTTTTTAGCACATCTGCTCTCTTTTGAGGACCATCCGCTAGCCGTATGCATGAATCTATCTCTTTCTAGCGCTTAATCTTCTGAGCGCCGAGAGAGAGTGGATGGTCCTCAGCATTGGCAAGGTATTGCTGGTGCTGAAACTGCAACTGCAATGCGAGGAGTGACGCTCGTTCGTAGGCTTATCTGGTTTTCCCTCCGCCACTGCAAAAGGAAGAGTGTGTGAGACAAAGAGAGAGAAAGAGGATGGGTAAGCGCGCGGAAGGCGTTTCAATTTCAGTTGTTCCTTCTGCCTATAATAATAATCCGATCTGATCCAGATTCGGCAATCTGCTGGATTAACGATCATCCTCAACGATTGAAATGAAGCTTAGGCTCGAACGCGAATTAGAAGGTATATTTGTATGTGTATCTATAGGGGACACAGGGACAGTCGCAGGTGCTGGTGCAGTCACAGGGCGAAAGCAAAAAGCGCACCCGGAACAAGAGTTTCAAGTTTTCTCAGAGAAGGAAAAGCTGCTCTCCATTTGGAAGCGAAGGTTTTCTTGTTGTTGCTAGACATCGCCATGTTGCATAAATGCAAAATATTTAAGGCTAGGAAAATCCAACTGCTGCCACATTCGGTGTCCGGGGGAAGTCGAGTCTTTGTTACCCCTTGAATGATTGCAAGCGTATTCCAAGTAACATTTCAGCTACTATTTAATGACGTAATTTCATGGAAAGAATCTATCAAATTCCGCATACATATGTAGTATATTCGCCATTTCATTGAATCCTTCTGCCTGATTTGAGTGCCAGGACACACAAGTCGAATCTGGGACGATGGCTGGACCCCGGCCTTTCTTGGCTGTTTCCTGTTGACTGTTGCGCCATGTCTTTCCTTTTCTTTTATGACTATTTTTTCAGGGCACACAAAAGTTTGTCCAGAGCTTTGACTTTCAGGAGGTTGCTGGTAGGTTGTTAGGTCGGGAGGCTGAGTTCTTCCCTAGGAAGGAAGCCAGCCAAAACTTCCTTGAGGCAGAGAAGAAGTACGAGTATCTGTTGCAGTGTCACCGACTGGAAACGGCCAACGGGTTGACCGGCGGAAGGAGGGCTGCATGGCGGACGGGTAGACCGATAATGAATAATGTTGCTGGCGATAATGTTGCCGCCTCCGTCAGCAACATGAAACCATTTGAGCATCCTCGAGATGGTGGCGTGACTCACGAGATCCGAGGCGTACTGTCTGTGGAAGGAGCACAAGTGTGATGTATGATAACCTCCATTTTTAGCAGCCTGATCCCCGGACGGATCACCGTGAACATCGAGCCATTTCTGGGGGAATCACGCACCCAGCCCTAGCCACAAGCCCTTGTGCTGCCGGGTGGCAGGGGCACAAAGTTCAAGAGAATACTGATAAAATTTCAGCAGAATAATTTCTGCTACAATGACTGTCACTTGCCCCAGCGCTTCCCGTTTCGCCCCACCTTCCCCTTGGCATTCCCTTTCCCCCGTACACCCATAGAACCCATTGGACTTTGGACTTTCTGAATTGATTCATGGCCGGGCCGGGTAGCTGTAGCGTGCTTATGAATAACCATTCAGAAATGTCCCCCTCACTGCGGCTGCAAAGTTTCTTCTTTTTTTTTTGTTTTTTTTTTTAATTGAAAATTCAAGTCGTCATCGTTCGGTCAGGGGCAGGGCACGGCAGGGCCGGGCCGGGAAGGGGAAAGCCATTGAGGGAAACACTTTTATCGCCACATAAACGAAAGTCGAACAATCGGAGTGAAATGCAAACAAAAAACGAAAGAAAAGCTGTCTTCAAATACCCTTGCGGATCGATCATGTAAGAAATCCCATTGGCACAAGCTTAGATCTGGAATCGACGGACTTGTCTGTGAATATTTGTAGAACCCATTGCAGGGGTATAGGGCTCAGGTCGCACAAAAATGCGAATAAATAAAAGTTTCCAATTCACTTGAAGTCAACGTGCAATATTTATGCTCGACTGCGCGTCGGCGAATGGAATGGAATGGAAGGGCATTCCCGGGGATAAGTACCTGAAATTCTGGCTTGAGAGGATACATCCGTCTTGGTGCGGGGTAGGGAGGAATCGGTGGCAGCATAAAGAGCGCGAACAAAGGCGGAGTAAAACGGTGAATGTTTATCGCACGCTAATCACAAATCGCAAATCGCAAATCGGAAATACGATTATTTTTTGCACAGAGCACACAAGCACACACTCAGTGGCTGTCGCTGCAGAGGGCGGCGGGGGTAGGCACTACCACACGTGAGTACCAGGCAGGTGGAGGAGCATCTGATGCGGTCAGAGGCTTAGTCTGAGGGGGGCAGCCCCAGAGTTGAAGGAAATCAGACCTTACACATTCATACGTATACGTAATTTTTTTGAACAAAACTTCGATTTCTTTCAATCAAAAATTGTATTCTTTTTCCTAGTTCTTTACCAAAACGTAAATAAGCAGAATGGCTATTCTAAGCGATGTTCATATAGACACACTACTGTACAAAATATTGCCCTGCCCAAGGCCAAGGTGCAAGTCAACGAGGTGGCAAACGAAACGGACGAATTATACTCACTATCGGTGCTCAGGACAACGTCACCAAATGCCGATACACTCTGACAATTGGCTGCTGAACCCCTGAAAATGAAATTTCGTGTATTCCCTAGGAATCTAAAAGTATCTGCCTATCCTGCATGTCGAACATATAATTCTATGCTCCCTTACGATAGTTGATAGTAAAATGAAAGAAAGCAGGGAAGCCAAGGCCTTACCATTTTTATAATATGCCTTGCCTTGCACACAGCAATAGATGCCGTCGCCCTTACAAATTGGTTAGAGGGAGATGACTACAGTTAAACATGTATACATGTGAGTTTTTAGTGAGTTTGTGTGAGTTGACAGCTGGCAAAATTCATAAGCGGGACATCAGGTTTTTTTTTCTCAGTACAGTACGGCTTTTGAGAGAAATTTGCGAAGCTTTTTGGTCCAGAAAATAAGGTACTTATATATAACTGAAATTTGCAAACAGTTCTGATATTTATTATATACATTTAGTTAGTTAGCAAATGAAATAATAGAATCCCTTACAATGGAGAATTCTGATGACATGAAAAAAGCAGCAGCTGCAACTAAAGAATCTGTCGGAAAGGTACATGCCGTCGGCGGAATGGAAAAATCTACTGGAATTCCAGAGTCGGCTGGGTTTTCAGAGTCTGGTGTCAAAGTGGATGATTTTATATTGGATTATGTACAGCTATACACCGTATTGCCGGGCATTCCCCGCTGGGTCACCAGGAGCCGTTTTTCTCTGCCGATGGCGTTCTGGGATCTTCATAAATACTTGGGCCGTGCAGTGGAGGCTTACATATCATACGACACCATTCTACGCGGCAACCTGGTGTCATTGGACGGCAATCTTGACCTTGTGTTGTGCAATTGCTATGAGGATTACTACTACTATGAGTGTCAATACTACGTGGGCGTCGTGCACCTCGAGGGGAAGCACCTTAAATTCATTCGAGAGATCGACTAATGATGTGCCTGATGATATCAATATGAAACTAATAAAAGAGAATGACCTTTAGACCGTACATTGTGTTTTCGGCCCGGCTTTGCAGCATTTCTTTTTCGTCTTCTCATTCTATCTGCTTTGTTCGTATTCCTGTTCTGCTTTTGCGGACACACACACACACAGAGCAAAACAAGCGTGTCTCGTGGTGTTGCCACCCTGGACTAGAGCGAGATAACCATAGTGTCTCTCTGCATGCGCGTAAGAGTATTGGTGGAAAGACGAGACAGCAAAGGCATGACATATTCAAGCACACAGTCCAAAGGCAGCGACGAATCACGGCGATTAGAGGAAGATGACACAATGTTGTTCCACATATCGTAGGACAAACGATGTATTTGCTATAAACCCAAAATATCACCCATACCGATACCTTTCGCAGACTGTTTATAAGTCTGCGGAAAATGTGGGGGCTACGCCTCTGTCAACCGTTTAAACACCAGGGCACACAAACATTTCAATTGTCAACAATGTGCTCAAATGTGAATGCATCAGCAGCCACTGAAACCACCCACCCCCGCTCCA